AACACTCAGGGTTGATTTCCTTCAAAATAGATAGTTTTTGTTGCCTCACTTCCACTGTGCTTCACTGTGCTTCATGAAGGAGAACATGAAGGTACTCTGAGCCAAAGAATTTTTTTAATCAGTTTATTCTGCCTCGCAAGGATCATTCTCAACATGCTGAAAGAGTACACTGATGAATTCAAAATGCCATCCCCTCAGTGTAATTCTTTGGAACCTTGATATAGTCAATGTATTTTGTGACCACAAACTCACATGCACAGAGAGAAAAATTCTTGTTGGCACCAGTAGCTGAGAGGTAAATGAAGCTCATGTTGTATATACTTTCCAGTTCAAATCCCGGTGTTGACTCTTACTCACAGCAGACTTGAAAATATTGTTCAAAATGTAACATAATAATGGTGGCATTATTACCAAAGCCTTGGCATATACTCCTGTTTATTGACTCACCTTTGAACACTTTGCCTATTCTTCTGCACAAGGACTGATAAATTACTTGCTTATATTTGTAGGTCTAATTACAACCACATCAAGAAAGCTTGATCGAGAACAGCAGGCGGAACATATATTGGAGGTAAATTAAGCTGCTGAATTTCTGTTTGAAAATTTGTCTTATTAACATGTATGTATTGTAAAATGGGTTCTTTGTACGTGGATTCATGTGTTTCTTGCCCTTAAGACAGAACTGACTTACATCAGCCCTAACAGCAATTTCAAGGTAAGTATTTAAGGAGTGGCTTCACCAGTTCCACCAGTGTCCAGCTGGCTGGATAACTCAGTGAACTGGATTGCTCAGTGAATGGTAAATCACTTTGGGGTACTCTTTACCAAGAAAACTCTGGAAAGTGTCTGTACAAGTCAGAACTGACAATAGCACACAATTACTGTTATTGGTTACTCATGTATAGTCAGTAACGCATAGAGCTGCTAATGCAACTCAGATAGTGACAAAATGCATAACATCAGACAATTAGAACTAAAAAAGTCATTCAGAAATTTGTATAGGAGAAGGCCTGTGCCAGTACCAAAACTAGCTGTAACTGCAGATGACATAATTCACCTTTTTGACTCAGTATCAGATACCTTTTCCAAACAACTGAGCTATTCTTTTCCCTTCTGTAGCAATGAAGAAGAGTGGAATGGATGTTAAGACTTCTCACAGGAAGGAGAGGACTTAACATTTCCAAGCAGCACACTTTGTTTTGTCGTCATTGAAGGGAGGGACTTCCTTCACAGTTCTTTGTCAGCAGTGGAGAAATCCTAGTGTAAATAACCTGTCTGTTAGTTCATTTTTATGTGGTGAGAGTATCCACCATGGTTCTCCAACTCCCCTTTTTAAAAAATCTGATCATGTTTACAATTATTTTGAACTGCTCTGAAGTTTTGTTAAACTGAAACTTGTTAAACCATTGTTTTAATTTAAAAAAATCATTCAGAAATTTGTATGGGAGAAGGCCTGTGCCAGTATCAAAACTAGCTGTAACTGCAGATGGCAAAATTCACCTTTTTGACCCAATATCAGATACCTTTTCCAAACAACTGAGCTATTCTTTTTCCCTTCTGTAGCAATGAAGAAGGGTGGAATGGATGTTAGGGCTTCTCACAGGAAGGGGAGGACTTAACATTTCCAAGTAGCACACTTTGTTTTGTCGTCATTGAAGGGAGGGACTTCCTTCACAGTTCACTTGTCCTTGATGAATTCCAGTGTTCTCATCTACCTGCTAGCTTGTTAAGCCATTTCTGCAATGCTACATCTGTATCATTGATAGGCAGTGTTATTAGACCCGGGAGCCTTTTTTCCCCTCCCAGGATCCTCTGGGAAACCATACCAGCTACAATATATGCCTAAATATGAAAAGCAGTGGTACACATTCTTTTTAATGGAGGAAATGTTTGGAGGGGTATGTGGAAGGCTGGGAAAGGTTGGGGCAGCAGGGGCTGCAAAAAGGCCACAACCAGTCTATATTAAAGTTGCCAGCCTCAGGCTGTGTTGTGCAGTACTTATTATCCTTTAAGTTGAGGGCCTTCTGCTGGAGAAGATCTGGAAATCCATCTTCCACTGCTGGAGCACACTGGGCTTTTGTCACACCTGCTTTCCTGTGCCATGTTGTAGCTGGCCACCAAGACTCCGGTGGGTTTCAGCCTGGATTCCAGTTGGAGTAGGACGACGGGCACTAGAGAGAAATGTTTAGCTGAGTTTCCAGAATATTCCAGCCAGCATGGCCAAGGCTTAGAGAACAAGCTGTTACACTCATAGGTACACATCTGGGTTAGGAACAAATTAGCTTCTCTGTACTCTGAAAAAAATATAGAAGTGCTATGGAAGTTGTTTGCCTTTTTATCATCTGAATAATTCCCCGTTGTCCATTTTCTTCTCCTGTGTCATTGCTACTGATGTAAAAAGGCTGAGAGTTGGTTCTTGCCTACTTGTTCATTATATAGTTGCATATGCAGCTTCAGGTAGATGTGGAAGAAAGATGTTGGGCTGATTCTCCCCCCCCCCAAAAAAAAAGCAGGCCTTGCGCTTTTCACAAGGGATGTTTTGTTTCTATTTTTAAAAAACTAGGAGGACTTTAGGCTAGCATATCCCCCTCTGTATCTTGATAGTGCATTTATACTGACATTATCCAGACCACGTCCTAGACATTACATTTGCTTCTCCCCAAGCTTCTATAATTGATTTGATTGATTGTAGAGGGAGTAACTGGAGGGAACCCAGGGCTGCTCCAAGAGTCCTCTAGTGACTCTTAGAGCATCCTGGTGCTAAATCTGATCCATAGCTTTTAATTTAAGCCAGTGACTCCTTAAATTTAGAACTCCATATGTTCTTCAGCTACAACTCTTGGGAGTCCTGACAAGGAGCTTCTCTGAGTTTCACCAGAGACCAGAGTTTCAGGGGCTCTGCTGTTTTAAAAAAAAATCATCTAAACTAGTGGTTTTCAGTCTTGGGTTCCAGATGTTGTTGGGCATCAGTTGCTAGAAAAATCAACTGACCTGGCCAGTGGTTATGGGATTTAGCTTCCTGGCTTTTGTTATTTGCAAATGAACCCACATGAGCCTTACTTTTCTCTACTCATCTGCATGTGAGACAAGGAGAATGAGAACATCTGTGTTCACTTCAGAATGAACAGTGGCTTTTTAAATGTATGAACTTGGAACTGCGAGTCATTGTAATCACAGTTAGTTGAACAAACAAAGCATCAATTCGTTTGGTATTCTGGTTTATTTCAGCTAACAATGGGTAAATAATCTAGAGCTGATTTTATAGGTACTTGGAACTTTGCTTTGTTTTGAAGTCAAAGCAGAAACTTTTTCCTTCTCTTGTATATGGAGGAGGAGAAAGGTCAAAGTGGAAGTAGAAAAGGTTCTTATTTGGACTACAATTCCCAGATCCCCCCCAACCAGCATGGTTAATGGGAGGCGTAGTCCAAAAAAATAACTTTCTCAAATTTTGAGTATAGATCTCCAACTTATTAGTGTTTATCATGACTATGTGTTCTACATTATGATGAACATGATGTCTGAACCTGGCCCTTAAGGTCACGGAAGTCCTTTGCTACAGTGCCCTGCAAGAGGAGAATGAGTTTTCAATGAACACCACTTAATGTGACTGTCTATGTGTCTGGTACTTTGTACAGATTTTATGTTAATCTCGTTTCTAATTTGGTGTTGTGCAAATGATGAACAGTGGACTGATTTATTTTCAACCATGTTAATTGTTCCCTCCCTCTGTTCTTCCCCCTTGCTTTTCCCCCCTCCATTTTTCATATGACAAAGTCGTTTTGCCCAGATCAGTAAAACCCTAAGTTGAGCATGGGAATGAAAAATCGAGAAAAGCATTACCAGTGGATTTATTAACGAAGTGTTTCACTTGTCTTTTCCCCATTGTTTTATGTTGATATAATTTTTTTCCAAAAGGTTTTGGGAGTAAATCCAGAGAATATTCATATAATTGTGGCAGCATTTTAAGCAGCTTGAGCCAAATGTTCTGCATCTGGCTAATTAATTAAGCATTAAAGTGTTGACCAGATGGACTGGCAAGTTTATTCCTTGTTCGCTTATTATAATTTTTCCTACATTTCACTCTTGTTTGCATAGAAACTAAAATAAATGTGTTGTGTTCTGTTTCCATTAAGACCTTCCTAGATTTTATAGGGTACCATTAAACAGCTTCATGCTTTTAAATACAACATATTATTACTTCTTAGAATCCCCAGTTCAATGTTAGCTTTCCCCTCGATTAAAAAAAAAGACACTTTGGGGTTATTCCCACTCACCTGCTCCCCTTGAAAAATTGTCAAGCCTTCAGAAGAGCTTCAGTCATCATTAAAATACCTACACTTACCACTGTTAGATGAGAGTAGTTGTCTCGGGCTCTCTTTCTGGTTTCATCACTCTTAAATTTAATCAGTGATGAGTCTGAAGAAGAGAGGATAACTATCCATGGGTGATGATTTTCTAGGGGTTTTCAGACTCGTCATCCTGTGTGTGTAGGTGGAAGATGAGACAGAAACAGAGGGGTAGGGCAAGCATGCTCTTCTCTACCAGTTGTAATTATAGCCGCTGTAATAATGATTGACTAGGACTAGATTTATGAAGCAGTTCAAAGAATGTTGATTCAGAGCAGAGCTTTGAAAAGTTCCTGCTTTGGGGTATGCCTCCCAGATCAGATTCTACCCAGCCAACTGGCTATGTAATTCTGAGAGTTATAGTCCAAAAACATTAGTTTTCCAAGTTTTAGTCCAAAAACGTTAGTTTTCCAAGCTCTGATTCAGATGTCAAGCCCACTGAGTTCAGTGGAACCTAATTATGCATATAGGACTGCCGCTTCAGATGGCTTCCTAATGGCTGCGAGTTGTACATGCATACTGCCAGGTTTTGTTGCTCCAACAAGAAATCTGTTTATTGGGGCATGTTTATTAAGTGCGGTTAGACTCAGATAACTGACAGGTGGAGGTAGAACATCATTAGCCAACTGGATACTTTTTCTAGCTTTTTTAAATTGGGGAAGTGGAAAATGAAACACTATTGGGCAACCAGGCTTAATTTTTTCCAGCCATATTTCCATGTGGGAAGTAATAAATTCAGATCCCTGCTCAGCCCTACAACTTTCTGTGTGGTCTTGGATGATTCACATCAACCTACCATTTCTCTTAGGTTTTTTCTTCTTCTGTGTAGCTAAAATGCCCCTGAGAAAGCTGGAAGAAGGGCATGGTAAAAATCTAATAAAATGTTATTGAATATTTTCAGCTGGCAAAATTAAAAAATGAATAAAACAGCTGTTCCGTATTTCAAGACACTTTCCCCCCATTCCTTCCTCTGAGACAAGAAGTTGTATTCTGTAATATCTCATTTTATCTGCTTAGATTGGTCAATTTTGTTCATGCATTTGCACTAGAATAGTGCTCCTAATTATTTAATAAAAAGACAGGGAACATGTCTTTTTTTCCTTTGTTCTCCAATATTTCTTACCTGTTCTTTGTTCATAGTTCTTTAAAAAATACGCTGGCCAAAATTCAGCTATGTGCAATTATGCATGTGCAACTTGAGGTTGTACCTGTAGTAGTTGTGCTGGTGTCGAGGTGGAAGTGCAGTCTCCTCAAAGCATTTCTGTTGGTTCATTGCACAATAGGTCGTGCCAGGAACATGCAACCGATTGTGCAATTGCATAGCATAATTCCTTATTGCTGGGCATAATACATGACAAATTTCCACTTGCCTAACTTTATGTTACACCACATGAAAAAAATTTTGCCTACTGGGCCATACTCAGGCTTTGCAAAGGGCAACTCATGCAAAAGGATTGTCCTCATTTTTCTCCCCATTGCAGTCTCCAGTGCCCCAGAAAACCCATCTAGGAATCCAGGCTTTGTAATATGGCAGAGGGAGCTGTAGGAGGGGGCAGGGAGGTAATTAAAAATTTGCACAAAGTTTTTACATCCACATGGCAGATCTTATCTGATGGATGTAGTCTCAAGGCCTTGAACTAAAACCACAAGAATTTGAGAAGAATTGTGTTGGATCATACCAAAGGCCACTCTTTTCCTACAGTGACTAGTCAGATGCCTGTCAGAAACCCAAAAGCAGAACAGGAGAACGATAACGTGCTTCTGGGTATGTTTACCAACAACTTGTATTCAGAGGGACACCACCTTTAATACTCAAAATATCAGTTATCATTATTAGTAACCATATCCTCCAAACCTTTAGTTTCAACAGACCAAATATTCAGACAGTGCAACATCTTAAGGTGTTGTGGTATGCAGGCCTTATAGATCTTTAGATATTTAGACTCAAATGTTTAATTTAACTGTTGTCGATGGAAACACACTCTGTGTGTGTGTGTGTGTGTGTGTGTGTGTGTGTGTAAAAAGACAAAAGGACAATGTCACACAGAGATTTAAGCAATTGTGTCTGAAGAATGTTCAGCAGTTTCCTTTTATTTTTTTCTGGATGACTGGATGCTTGTTTGTTTGAATTACTCTGATGGGTTGGCCAAATATTTCTTCAAAATAATCAGAAGGCTCATTTTTTTAAAATCAGTTTCCAGTGGTACAGTAATTGTCCACTGTTTGACTATGTATTCAATAAAGAGGGTCAAGAATAGAAGAGAGTGGAAATTAAGAGGAACACAAAAATAAAATTAGAGTGAGAGGAAGGGACGGCAGCTAACAGAGAAAGGAAGCAGCAAATTTAATCCCTTTGCCCTGTATGGAGTAGTAGCTCATAGAAGGGGAAGGAATTCAGTTCCCACTTTCCCACCTTCACAGTAAGTAAGCCTTACTGTGGATTTTGAAATTATGCTATCGATTCAGATCTCTTGATGGTCTAGGAGCTTTTCTCTAGAGATGGGCAGATAATCATTTGCCACTATAATTATCTGCTTTGTGTTCTTGTGTATACTGTATATGATGAAGTTGCTATGTCAGCTAATTTCACTTAAAACATTATTGCATATTCACAAGGGCTTGAGAATGTGTGAAAGACTTGCAACTGCAGTATTTTCCTTAAGGAAAAAACAGCTTGTAGTATGACTTTGCACAAATTGGCTTGGAATCATGGCGATACAAACAAAGCTATCATTACATTTGCCTTTCTTTTTCTTTTCTTGATAAACTACATTTATTGTTTTAAAAATCCAATATTTGACTTTTACTCAGATATTTATGTTGCTTATCGTCATAATGATATTTTTGATGTTAAATGTGAAAATTTCTTTTAGTCCAAATATTTGAGAAACCCCTCTTGTCAAGCAACAAAATGTACTTAAGATATGTTTTGTTGCTCGACAACAGGAGTTTCTCAAATATGTGGACTAAATAATTAGAGTATAATTACAGTAGTGGCTTCAACTTCTGTTCTTGTCCTCCACTCACATATTTAAGAAATTAAAGAGGAATTCTATTCTGTACCTTCTAAACCAAATATTGTTATCATCAAGATGTGTGTTGAATACTTCCATCTCATTTTTTCTCATTTTTCCAAACATTTAGTCCTTTCTGAGTGATTATGACAATTCTGGCATCAGTACTTGGAACTGTTCTGGGCAGAAACCTTATTTATTATTGTTAACTATTTATTGTTATCCATAGGTAACAGTGACAGATAATGGCATGCCACCCAAATCAACCCTTGCCCGAGTCGTAGTGAAGATCTTAGATGAAAATGATAATCGACCTCAGTTCTTGCAAAAGTTCTATCAGATTAAATTGCCAGAACGTGAGAAACCAGAGAGAGAGAGAACTGCTAGAAGAGATCCAATCTACCGTGTGGTAGCTGCAGATAAAGATGAAGGGCCTAATGCAGAAATATCTTACACCATTGAGGATGGCGACGAGCAGGGCAAATTTTTTATTGACCCAATAACCGGCGTGGTCTCTTCCAAGAAATATTCTGGAGCTGGAGAATATGACATTCTTACAGTAAGTTGTGATTTTAGTTCTATATTCTTTTCTCTTGTCAGTGTGCTCAGAGTTTTAACTGCACTTTTAGCAGTATAAATGATACTTAAGACTTTGAAAGTTTGTATATTCAGGCACATCAAATTGCCACTGAATTAAGAAGGAGCTTGGTTTCTCTTTGGCACTTTATAAAGTTAATCATATGATTTTTATCCTGTTTCCAAGAATACAAAGCCCTGTGTTGCAGATATCACCATAGGCTAATGAAGTTACTCAGTTCAAATCCTAAAAAGGTACATGCAAATCACAGTCAAAGAAGAAGCCAAGGTCTAGTGGGCAAGGAGTCAGTTCCAAGCAGGGAGCTCCAAATCTAATATCAAGTAATGGTCCAGGTCCTAACTGGTCTTATTCTAACAGCAAGACAGGTGAGGATATCACGTAGACAAAGTCACACAGAACTCGAGGTCATACACAGTAGTCATAGTATGAGTTGGGATTAGCGATAGGGGTATTTGTATTTGTAGATGAATACGAATATCCTTCCGCAGGTGGAAATAACGAGGGTCCGGCCTCTCACCGTTCGGCCACTGCCGTGGGCACAGCAGCGCCTTCCTATCACGCTGTGCTCCACAGTGGATTAGCCGTTCTGCGACCTGGCAGAGAGGCTTGTCATCCCACCTCCAGCCAGGAGTGGCTAATCCGTTGCAGAGCATGCCACGATAGGAAGGTGCTGCTGTGTCCACAGCGATGGCCAAACAGTGAGTGGACGGCCCAGCTCCATCGGCCGGACCCTCATTATTTTCACCTGCGGGGGGATATTCGTATTCATCTACAAATATGAATCCCCCCATCTCTAGTTGGGATATGAGGGTATGACGACTACAGGAAGATGTTTAGAGCCCAGTACTCTTTCTGAGGTTTTTAAACCATTAGTGGTGGGGCAGCATCCATCTTCCCACTCGATTCTTGAGTCAAAATTCCCATCTGTGGTTATACTCTCCTGTATCCCTGAGAATCATGAATCTGCAGGACATTGAGTCCTTCATCATTTCCAAGCTTGGAAGCTCACACATCTTGCTAGAGCAACCTTCCCATGAGGGAATGGTAGCATTATTAATGTTGATTAAAGGTAATAAAAAAGAATAACCCATTCCTGGATCCAAAATATGCATCTTAGCTTCATACAAAGGGCTAACTGTAGTTTACTTTTCCCTTTTAATGTGGACAGTTCCAAAACCAGTTTGTCAATCTCTTTGAACATAACCACATGCGAGTTTATCTAGGAGTGAGCTCCACTGAACTCAGTGGGACTTAATAGAATAGCATTGCAAAATTCTCTTGAGCTTACAAAATGAATTTAATGGTTTGGAGACCTCTGCTAATTGTGTTCTAGGCTTCTGATGTAATTGTTTATGTTGTCAGATTTCAGTATTCTGTGTTTTCTGTGTCGTCTGTTTTTATTTATATATTTAAGATGTCTAACCTAGTATTTTGATCCTTAGATCAAAGCTGTGGATAACGGTCGCCCACAAAAATCAGCAACTGCTCGTCTTCATATAGAATGGATCCCCAAACCCCGTCCAGCCCCAGAACCAATTGTTTTTGAGGAATCATTTTTTTCTTTCACTGTCATGGAAAGTGATCCAGTAGCTCACATGATTGGTGTAATAGCTGTTGAGCCTCTTGGTACTCCACTCTGGTTTGATATTATAGGTAAGAATGTTGTAGACTATCCACTGATTATCTGGACTGCTGTTTTTACACAGTTCTAATCCCATTCTAATCTAAGGGGGATTTAAATAAATGCATTTCCTGTGTATGTGTGAGATAAAGATTTCGTAAAATGTCCATTGCCATTTTTCTTGAATAGTTAAAGGATCATATTGATCTTAACTTTTTGGTGAATAGGGCTATCTTGTTGCTGTCATATTTTAACAATATTCCTGTTGTAGTGCAGAGATACCGCCCCTTCTCTAGCACCATATCAACCAATGAAGAATTTCCTCCGTGCACCAGGTTATGTTGTAACTTCAGATGAAGGAAGCCTAGTAGGATATTTGGGGGGCTTGGCAACTCCCGTGCCACTATATTGGACATCCAAAAGGTCTGATTACAGTACAAACCATGATCAGTAGGATTTGGAATCAGGTTGTAAATCCAAATAGGATCCTGACCTGAGGATGTGGGGTCTTTGAACTACAATTCTCAGCATCTCTAGCCAGTATGGCTGCCTGTTGTGTTTGGCTAGGGGATTCTGGGCCTGTGGTCTACCTAAGGCTAGATACTAGTGCAGATTAAGTAGTGAGGAATAATGCAAGAAATTGCTGAAAAGAACTTGAGGGAATATGGGTGTTTTGTTAGCAAGGGAAAACTGATAATGTATAGATAAGAGTATATATTGATCACGATGTTAGTTTCTGTATTTTATTACACCTTATTTACTGTTACTAACAGCATGAATCTTTCTTCTGTGCTTGCTTTCCATGCTTTCTTTCTTTTTGGCTGTGCCAGGAGACAAGCTTGCTAGTGAAGTGTTTTACATCTTTCAGATGGCTTGTGACCTGAACTGTACAGCAGAAGGTATCTGCTGAGATCACATAATTGATTTTTGGATTATGAGATCGAATGTACAACTGTACAGGTTTAGATTATTCTAATCTCTCATATGAGAAGTAGTTCCTTCCCTTCCCTTTCCTTTCCTGTTGTTCCTGTTCTATGGGGCTGGGAGGACGTGTTTTATTTTGTTATTGTTGCTGGGCACCATACTCAAACCAAGTCACTAATTTGAAATCCTAGTTTTGCTTTGGCCCAAACCAGCTCTTTTCTGCTTTCACTGCCCCAGACTGATGGACTTTTATAGACCATTTTAATGGTGGTGGTTACAAAATGTATTTGCCATTAGGAGAGCCTTAGGGCATTTCTAGATGGATAGATGGGCCAATAGCAGGGATGCTGGTGTGACATTTATTGTTTCTTTGCTTAGAACTCCCAGGAATGTGAAGGAATATAAAGGAATGTATATTTCAGGAATGTAAAGGAAAGAGACTAAGAATAGAAAATCAATTCAGTATAGTTGGAAAATAGAGTAAAAATATCATAAGCAATCCTAAAAGTACAAAAAAGTACCATATTTGCCGGCGTATAAGACTACTGGGCATATAAGATGACCCCCCAACATTTCCACTCAAAATATAGAGTTTGTTATATACTCGCCGTATAAGACTACTCCCTCTTCCGCACACCTTCCACACACCAAATAAAAGGTGGTACAGTATTCATTGTCACCATTGTACGGCCGCAGCGCGACCGCAGTGTGTCCGGCCCGCCCCTGCATCTCCCTGTGACCAGCAATAGTGCGCAAGTACACGCTCTGCGTAGACAAGGGGCGGGCCGGAATGCCACTACTTCCTGCCGAGCAGAACAGGCCGGTCACGTCGTAAAGGTTGGCACCCCTGTCTCGCTGGATACCGCACGATACGGACGGTATATAGAATGTGGTGGGAAGGCATCAGGAGGCTACTGTGGGCACTGGGCGAGCATCGGAAGGCCACTTTTGGCAGCTATGTCTATCCCGACTGAAGTGCACCCGGTGTATAAGATGACCGACCCCCCCCCCACTTGGAGGCATGTTTTTCAGGGCAAAAAAGTAGTATTTTATGCCAGCAAATACAGTATTAGTTTAAGAATCAGTTGCAATTATGTTTCATCTTTCACTAAGTGAGCTCAAGGCAACAGGCATGGTTCTCGACCTCCCAACTTCCTCCTCTCTGCCTCACAACATCCCTATCAGGGAGGTCAGGCTGAAAGGGTATCACTGGCCCAAGTTTACCTAGTGGAGTACATAGCTCAGTGGAGCTTGAACATGAATCTCCCAAATGCAGGTCAAGCCACTCTACCACATAGGCTAATCTAATCACACTGATAACTGAGGGGAGAAGGTTTTCTGAAGACACTAAACTAAGTAGGTATAACTCCATATATGCCACTTCAGGGAAAGAATTCCATGGATGGGGTTCTGCTCACCATCAAAATGCCAACAAGTTGTAATCCCTGCATTGAACAATGCAAAAACAAAGTATGTTGCTTATATACTGCCCCAAAGCACTTAAAGTATTCTCTGGGTGGTTTGCAATTTAATTATGTAGGCTACACATTGCCCCCTCCTCTCAGCAAACTAGATATTCAATTTACCAACCTCAGAAGGATGGAAGGCTGAGTCATTCTTGAACCAGCTACTTGAGCACATTGGGATCGAACTTTGGACACATACAGAGTTTTGACTGCAGCACTTCAGTTTAACTGGTGCACAATGAAATTCCTCTGATCAAAGTTGGAGATCAGGGTGTGATAGATTCAGTACAGGTAGCATGAGGACTAAAGAAATGAACCTCTGAGCTGGCTTCACATTATATAAACTAACCTCTCTGCACTCCTAGCAGTATTACCATGCCACTAACCCAGTTGTGAGGGATCATCTTGCTTTTGTAGTGTTATTACTGTTACTATTGTTATTCTTCATACTAGTGGTGATCATATTAGTAATATTACCAATACATTTATATCCTACATTTTATCTGGTGAGCTTAAGATAGTGTACATGAATTGACTCTTCAACACTTCATTCTAATAACAATCCTATGAGATGAAATGATAAGACACCCACTGAATTTCTTGGCTCAGTCAAAGGTTTAATCTAGATTTACCAAGTGACACTGTTTGTTGGAGTTCCTTAAATCTGTGCTTCACTTCCACTGTGTATTCATAAGGGATTTGGTTTAGATTATACCTAACTAGCCTAGTAGTTTGTCCTACTTTCTTCAGTTTAAACTTGAGTTTTGCTATAAGAAGCTGATGATGAGAGCCACAATCAGCCCCAGGTCTTGTTTGTCCTGACTGTATAGAGTTTCTCCATCGTTGGCTGCAGAGAAAAAATCTGATTTTGGTATTACCCATCTGGTGATGTCCATGTGTAGAGTCGCCTCTTGTGTTGTTGGAAAAGAATGTTTGAGATGACCAGCTTGCGCTCTTGACAAAACTCTATTAACTTTTGCCGTGCTTCGTTTTGAACACCAAGGCCAAATTTACCTATTGTTCCTTTTATCTCTTGACCCCCTACTTTAGCATTCCAGTCTCCTATAATTAGAACATCTTTCTTTGGTGTCAGTTCTAGAAGGTGTTGTATGTCTTCATAGAATTGGTCAATTTCAGCTTCTTCCCCATTGGTGGTTGGTGCATAAACTTGGATGACTGTGATGTTGAAAGGTCTGCCTTGGTTTCGTATTGAAATCATTTTATCATTTTTGGGATTGTATCCCAGTGCAGCTTTTCCCACTCTTTTGGTGACTTATGAGGGCTATTCCATTTCTTCTACTGGATTCTTGCCCACAATAGTAGATATGATAATTGTCTGAATTGAATTCACCCATTCCCATCCATTTTACTTCACTGAATGCCCAGGATGTCAATTTTTATTCTTGCCATCTCCCGTTTGACCATATGCAGCTTAGTAAGGTTCATAGATCTTACATTCCAGGTTCCTATGCAGTATTTTTCTTTGCAACATTGGACTTTCTTTTCACTTCAGGCACATCCGCAACTGAGTGTGCTTTCGGCTTTGGTCCAACCATTTCTTTAGCTCTGGAGCTACTTGTACTTGTCCTCTGCTGTTCCTCAGTAGCATGTTGGACCCCTTCTGACTCTATACCTACAAGTTAGAAATACCTCAATGGCACCACCACTACCACTATTATTTACCCGTTGCCATCAAGGGAATAATGTCATAAATGATTTCATTGGCTCTGTGTAAGACTGATTTAAAATAAGTCCAGCATTAGTACTTTGATAGTTTCAATACTTTCCCAAAATTCTTTTATTTAAGCAGCAAAACACAATTTTTCAAAGAAAATAAAATTTTTAAATGAATTAACTTTTACTTCTGCTCAGTTGTGTGTTTTATATACACTTGCAAATGCCTGTGTCTGTTCATCTGTGGCTAGTAAGACTTACCTCTGAGGGGAGAAAGTTTTTTAGCCTCCAGATGTCTGTCTTTCACACTGCAAATGGATTTACTCACCCATCTGCCCGCATATAACTATGTTTTCTTTTTTTGTGGATTAGTAACATTTGTGGGATTATTTGCAAGGCTATTCTAGTCTATAGAAACATTCAGCTTTTCAAAGAAAATGCACCAATACATTCAAGGCTTGAAAGATATACCTGAGAACACAATATTTGGCATTCATCAGAATGTTAGGGATAGAGAGAGAAGCATTGAAGTATTTGTCCCTATGGCCATCTGTAATATTGCAACTAGGTTACATATCTAGTGCAAACCATCAAGTACGTCATAGCTGATTTTGTTTTAAGTTTGCTGTAAGCATTGTAGCAGAGTGTATCAAGAAATGATACATCAAAGCAGCCTTTTGTGAACTTCTGTCTCATTCACTTTCTTGGAGCAGGTGGCAACTCCGACAGCCGCTTTGATGTGGACAAGGGTACCGGAACCATAGTTGTTGCTAAGCCTCTTGATGCTGAACAGAAATCAAATTACAATCTGACAGTAGAAGCAACAGATGGAACTAGAACTATTGGCACTCAGGTAATGGAATTTCCAATGAAGTATTTAAAGTTTGTAGCTTTATCTTGCCTTATTTGTCCTCTGGCCATAATTATGTTATATATTTATTAGTGGGCTGTGATTTGAAAAAAAGGAATAGTGTTCAATACCAATGGGATACAGTAATTGTAATGTTCAGTAGTGAAAGAGGGGGCAAGAAGGGTTATATATAAGTATACTTTGAATAACAGCTTAAAAATAACATAATGTTCAAATGTTAAAAAGATACATTAGAAGGAGGAGCTCATTAAACTACAGTGTACACAGAAAATGAAAGACTAGCCACAGTAAATATTGTTGCAGCAAAGCCCTGTGTATATCTCAGGTTAATAGTTTAATATGGTTATGCTTGGAACTGCAGGAAATTGTTGGAAAACCTGAGAATATTTTTTATACAAAGTAATGAGAGCATTGTTTTTGTTTTTTTAAAGCTCTTTTAAAAACCACGTTTTTAAAATTGGAACATATCCTGTTTCCCCCAAAATAATACCTAACCTGGAAATAAGCCCTAGTATGATTTTTCAGGATGCTCATAATATAAGCCCTACCCCAAAAATAAGCCCCAGTTAAGTAAAAGCCTGCCCTCCACCATTGTGCAGCAACCAGAAGAAGATGACATGCTTGTGTTTGAATAAGGAAGAAATAACAGTTTTGGGGGGAATGAAATTTGGTTTAATCTTATTCAGTTAGAGCAGTGGACTGAAGATTGGGTAAAAATAAATGGTAAATGCAGAGACCTTCTGAGATTTGAAGTCATGGTATTAGAGAAAGAAAAAACAGGTGAAAATAAGACAATAAGGTGTTGATAGATGCAGAGAACCAACAAGAATCTCTTAAAGTATTAGGGGAATGTGATTTGGGATAGGAAATAGATATCAAAGTGTGGAAGCATCTATGGAATAAAAGAATATTAGAGTTTATGTTCATAAGAATCAAGCCAAATGATTCAACAAGAGCCATGAGCCTTCATAAGAGTTAGTGCAGTTTTGGAAGGGGAAAGGGGCTCTGTAAATGGAGGAAAAATTGGTTATATCTCCAGATGGTTCCCACGGGGGGGGGGGAGAGCACATTAAGTCTAAATGTATGTATGTAGTTGATGTTTATGTCATTTTCTGTTTTTAAAGCTTTTTAAAATTATGTTTTCTTTGTTGGTCTTTTAATGTTTTCTTTGTTGGTTTTTTCTCTGCATTTTTAATTTAAAAAGAAAAAACAAAGTCTTGCACTGTACTGTACTGAAAGTAGGACTCAGGGTTCACCCACTGGGACATTTGGTTTGCAGGAATGGTGCATCTGCAATCTTTATCAAACTTCTTTGTTCCCTCTGAATTTAGGTCATTTTCTCACCATAAAGTGGAAGGATATTTTCAGTTCGTGTTGTTATGAGCTGACCCCTTTGAGAATCTTAGTCTCAAATGGGTGATTTAGATACATTACCTTTACTGAAAAAATGCGGCTCATGGAGGTGAAAAGTACTATAATGGCTTTGTTGCCATGGATCAGCATGGTTGATTCTCCTTGGAGGGGCATTGTTGATATGTGCTATCAAGTCACCTCTGCCTTATAGTGACCCTGTGAATGAGTGGCTTCCAAAATTTTCTGTTCTCAACAGCTCTACTCAGATCTTGTAAGCTGAAGGCTGTGGTCCTTTTATGAAGTCAGTCTATCTAAGTCTTACTCTTTTCCTGCTGCCTTCAACGTTTCCCAGCATTATTGCATTCTCCAGCGAATCTTGTGTTCTCACAATGTGCCCAAAGTATGATAGCCTTGGTTTCATTATTTCTGTCTCCAAAGTTCAGGCTTTCTCTTGAAGGGGCATTATGAGAACTGTCATAAGTGCATAACTATGCACCTTAAAAATTAGCACTCTTTCAATGAAAAAAAATCACTTAAAATTATCAGTGTATTTTTTGAAAAGAAAAACATGAAGTTCACTTGATAGATTCCCATGAAAACCTGTATTTGGCACCACGATAATCCAACAGGTAGCTGTAGCCATTTAGTTTCTCTGATTATGTAAATCTTTTCAAAGAGGAATGAAATCTGGCAGGCATTCACCAAGTATATAAATACATAATAAATATGGAAAGAACAAATCTCAGAAATGTCTGCTGTAACTGATCGTATTGTGGTTTTAGTAATTGGATCCAGAGTCCATCTTCTCTAGTTGGAAGTGCTTCACTTATTAAAGGTACTTCTACCCAATTCTGAGGGATTCTCTTCGGTAAAATACTGCTGTTCCCTCCACCCATCAGTCCCCACACCCCAGCAATAGCAACTTTCATATAAGGCAACTCGTTTTAGATTATAGATGTAGTCTAACTGCATAGTATTTATATTTCCATGCAGTAATTTGCTGTTTGAACCTTTTGAAGTTAGTAAATACTATTTGGAAAAAATGGTATTATTTCTGTTCTTTCTGTTAAAAAAAGAAGACAGATCTAGTACATGTAAGCCATTTCAAAATGGCATATATATGGGAGGTGACTCCATGCATACAGTGAATTCTCACATGGATCATTGCTCTCATGCTAAATGTCTATATGTAATAGTTCTTGGAAATGTTGAGGGGGGCACTGACCTTAACTCTCAGAATACCTCAATCAGTGTAGCCAGTGACCATTCTGCCTATGGCATTCTGGTAATTTTAGTACAGAATAATGATTTTTATCCTTGTGCCGCTGATTCTGGGGAAAGAAAACCTTGTCAAAAAGCACAGTTTCTTGGCCAATATGCTATCCTAGAGTGACTGTAAATTTGTATAAATTTCCTGTCAGCATGAATTGAACAGTGTCATCAGTGGCAAATTGAACAAAATGGAAGAGATAAACAATGGCCAAAATCCTGTTACATAATACAGTGGTGTCCCGCATAGCGACGTTAATCCGTTCCAGGATTAACGTCACTATCCAGATTCTTCGCTATGCGGGGGAGGGAACCCATAGGAACGCATTAAACTCTGTTTAATGCATTCCTATTGGGGAAAAACTCACCGGTAAGCGAAAAATTCCCTCATCCGGCCCCCATTTTCGCTGCCTCGGTAAGCAAGGTGCGAAAACGCTGCGGGTGGCCATTTTCCCCCAGCTGGGCGGTGCTGGCTTCCGAGTGCCAGTGGTGGACGCTTCCCCGGAGGTTGCTCTGAAGCCTGCTTCAGAGCAACCTCCAGGGAAGCATCCACCGTGGGCGCTCCAACCTTCTCCCCCCCAGCTGGGCGGTGCTGGCTTCCGAGCGCCCGTGGTGGACGCTTCCCCTGAGGTTGCTCTCAAGCAGGCTTCAGAGCACCCTCCGGGGAAGCATCCACCACGGGTGCTTGGAAGCCAGCACCACCCAGCTGGGGGAAAATGGCCGCCCGCAGCATTTTCGCGCCTCACTTACTGAGGCGGCGAAAATGGCAGCCGGATGGGGGATGCTTCGCTTACCGGTGAGTTTCCCATCTGTTCTTTGCTGGCAGAAGCTCTTTATTTGCCAGAGGAAAAGAACTAAATGTATTAATTTGCTTATCTTGCACAACATGATATCAGCCAGTACAGTGGTACCTTGACTTACAAACTTAATCCGTATTGGAACAGTCTCCGTAACTCGAAACGTTCGTAAGTTGAAGCACCATTTCCCATAGGAATGCAATAAAAATGGATTAATCTGTTCTGGCCAAAGGAAAAAAATCCCCCCCCCCAAAAAAAAACACTGCAAGCCCCATAGGAACGCACTGGGGCTGAAAAAAAAAAAACCCAAGGAGAGAAAGGGAGTCTTAAAAGGCTAGCTGAAGTGAACTGGGCCGGCGCCAGTGACTGGCCAGGAAGCACTCACCTGCCTGCCCGCCCGCCGCCTCCTGCTCCTCCAGAGCTTCCCTCACTGCAACCACGGCTCCTCCCCACTGCCCAGAGGAAAAAACTTACCAAAAAGATAAAAAGAGCACAGCAAGCCCAGTCGGAAGGTGCTCTGTTGCTGAGGCTTTGAGAAAAAACCTCAAAAAACAAACAGACACTAAAGCCACCTCTATTGCTGAGGTTTAAGAAGGAAAAAAAATCTCCAAAAATACACACACACACACACACACACACACACACACACACACACTCCGAAACAGAGCCACCAAAACTCACTCAGAACATTTTTTTAAAGGAGAAAACAGCAACTTACCTCCCTGCAGACACACAAACATGCTCACTCCAAAGCAGGAGGCTCTCCCAAGCCTCCAACTGCGACACACCCTATAACTTCTGAAAGAGCTACAGCACAAAGAAGCAGCCTCGTCACCACCTACAGTTCGAAAGTTGAATTGCCCGCCTTTTTTCCCTGCCTGTTTCTGTTCGTAAGTGGAAGCTTTGTTCGCAAGTCGATGTAAAAAGTTGCGACCAAAGCTGTTCGTAAGTAGGGACGTTCGTAAGTCGAGGTACCACTGTATGTTGCATGTCCCATCCTTAGTCTTACTGATCAGAAACTTCTGCTAGAAAAACATGTCAGAGTATACGTGAAAATTGTGTGGTCCACAGGCTGTTTGCAGATGAACAGGTCTTCCAGTGTGCTCTCCTGGGCCCCTACCACCCTCCGCCTAGGTTTTGTCCCCAAAATTTATGTATTTATTTTATTTATTTATTTAATTTATATGCCGCCCACTCTACCCAGAGGTCTCTGTGCGGCTTACAATAATTTACAATAATACAAAAATGGATGGATTGTACCCACAGAAGCCTTCAAGGAGTGCAGTTGTCCATTTTAACTACAGTGGTGCCTCGCTTAACGAGCGCACTGCAGAACGACGAAATCGCATAGCGATGAGGTATTTGCGATCGCAAATGCAATCGCATACTGATGGCCCCTATGGGCAAAACTCGCATTATGAAGATCGGTAAGCGTTTCGCTTACCGATCTTCGCATTGCAATGTCGGGGGAACAGCTGATTGGTGGTTCCAAAATGGCCACCGGAAGCCCCAAAATGGCTGCGCGCAGCGTTTTCGCGCCCTGCCCTTGCTTACCGAGGGCGCGAAAATGGCTGCTGGACCCTGGAAACATCGCTGAACTGTGGTGGCTTCATTTAAAAAAATGGGGAGCTCCCAGATCTTCTATAGTTGCCCACCCCAATCTAGAGGAAGTGTCCCTTCTTCTGTGGACAGTACATATGAAATAATCAGGAGCTTGTTGTCCGCACTGTCAGTCTCTATTCATTTGCATCCATTACCTTTCCACTTTCCCTTAACTTTTGTTTATATATTTCAAGTGTTGTGTTATTATTAACCTTGTTTTGTATCATGTGCTGTGCTACCATCTCTACACCATTGTTTCATGAACGGTTCTCTCTATGTTATCTACCCTGGACAGTAAATAATATGGGGGCAGTTTGGATGGAAAAATGACCCTGGGGGAAGGAGGGGTGATTATATTTTAGGGGGACACACTATTTTAGATACAATAGAGATACTGATTATAGCAAAGCAGGTAGTTTCTAAAAACATTCTGCATTTATAAATGTGTGAATTTGGATCCCTGGTTTTGTCAATCAGTACGCATTTTCTTAGTGTCTGTATTCTCGGTTTCAAAATGGGCAGACTGTTTTTTCTACTTTAGTTCTGTTTCATGTATTTTCTCATTTTTTAGCATAAAGAGCAAGATGTTGCGGGCATGGCTTTTCCAGGAAAATGCACTGACTGGTTTTTGTTTGGAATTTCCGTTTCCTACTTGAAAGGGTTAGCTTGAACTACACCTGCTAGAATTCTACATTTTTTTGTTAGTAGTAATAGAACTGTATCCATTGGAACAAATAACAAAACCTCTGATATGAGCAGGATCTGCTCTAGAGTTCAGTCTAGACATGTCCCCTATCTAGGTCTAGCTCCTTCAACTTTCACCCTGCTGCCTGCATTAAAAATTATTTAACTAAATCTAATAAAAACAGAATTTATATTTACATTTAACGTGTTCTGAACTATTTATTTACTTTATTTTTCCCCTGTGACCTGTTTTGTATCATTTACTTAAAGAAAAGTGATATTTTTGCTGTCAATAATTAATTGAGCCTTACTCTATTTGAAATAATGACAGCTATTCAGTAATAAGATTATAAACATTTGTTATTAGTATCTTAGTCTTCTATTGAAAAACATCAGAGGCACGTTTTTCAATAAGAATGTGTGCCTTTCTTAACAGTTAATCTATTGAAGTCATGTTGAATTCTGTAATTAGATATAATTGTTAGAAATCTACAATAAGGACAAATAAGCTAAATTACATAGATATGTGAAGAGAATGTGCTAAATTTATTTAATTGCTGCAAGCTGCCCTAGATTGTTCATGTAACAAAATACTTGGTTTAGCATTTGAAATACAATAAACTGTTTAACAAGTCTTGATTACTGCTAAAAAAAATTCTAGTGTTACATCAATTTAACTGGCATCGGGGCATGTTGTCCAATTGTTGTCTGTGCTAAAATAGTAAACCAAATGCATGTATCTCATTATGAAAAAATTACCTATTGTATAAAACTGCTGCATTAGAAGGCTTCATTGGCTGCAGGCCACAAGCATATGTGGAACATTTCATTCTTTAATGAAACTGTTTAATAGCTTTGTTTGGAATATATATAAGTAAATAAAATTGCTGTCAGGACATAATGTGCAACTAAATGCTGAGTGCATGATGCACAAAGAGAACAAACAAATTCAGCGTCTTTGGTCATAATTTTGACAGTGTTAAAGGTGTCTAAGAAAGGAAAGAGACGAGAAAATCAAATGCTTTCAAGACAAGCATTCTTCTTTTTTCTGACCTTAAATGAAGATTATTATTCATGGAAAATGGAAAATAACATGCTTGAGCGCTACAGTTGATATTTATCTGAGAAACAGATATTTTACAGCCTCATCAACTTAGCATTTACTGCTGTGGTTATCAACTTTCAGTAAGTAGAAGCAGTAGATATTTTTAAGGCCATCTGCTACCATCTATGTGTTGTTTCTCTTCACAGAGAAATTCTTCATGATGCAAAAATCATCATAGAATAAATAGAGTTGCAAGGGGTCTATAATAAGCCCATCAAAGCCAACCTCCTGCTCTATGTAGGAATTCATATCAAACTGACTGACAGATGGTTGTCTAATTATCTTTTGAGTGCCTCCAACACTGGAGCACTAACTCAAATGGTAATCGGTTCTATTGTTGTACTGGTCTAACAGGAGGTTTCTTCTGATATATTCAACTGAAATTTGGCTTCCTCTAACTTGGGCCCATTATTATGTGTCCTACGCTCTGGGATGATCGAAAACAGATCCTGCCCTTCCTCTGTATGACAGTCTTTCAAGTACAGTGGTGCCCCGTTTGTTGATTACCTCGTTAGATGAGGAAATCGCTTTACGATTAAGTTTTTGCTATCGGAAAACAATGTTTTAATAGGGAAAAACCGCTTTACGACGATCGGTTCCCGAAGCAGGCTTCGATTTTTTGCTTAACAACGATCTTTACAGCTGATCGTTGGGTCCTCAAAATGGCCACCCGCTGTGCAAAATTGGCTCCCCACTGTGTTTTAGGATGGATTCCTCACATTACAGGCACTGGAAAATGGCTGACCTATGGAGGAGCATCACTGGACGCTGAGGTATTTTGCACATTGGAATGCATTGAACTGGTTTTCAATGCATTTCAATGGGATTTTTACTTTTGCTTGACGACAATTTCGTTCTACAGCGATTTTGCTGGAACGGATTATCCTCGTCAAGTGAGGCACCACTGTATTTGAAAAGTGCTACCATCTCTCCTAGACATGGCCAGTTCTTTCAGTCTTTCTTCATAGGGCTTGGTTTCCAGTCCCCTGATCATCCTTGTTGCTCTCCTCTGAAATTGTTCCAGTTTGTCAGCATCCTTCTTAAAGTGTGGTGTCCAAAACTGGACACAGTACTCGATATGAGACCCAAGCAGTGCCAGATAGAAGGGAACTAGTACTTCATGGGATTTGAAGACCATGCTTTACACTAACCACTCATAAGTTATTCCTCTTTGAAGAAAATAAATTCACATTCTTCCATTTAGATGAGTGATTCATCAATGTTTCTTCCAAGGAAAAGTTTATTGGATGTGCTAATGTTCTGTCATAAATAAATCACTGCCCATGTAGCGACATCCCATTCAGTGTATTTCATTCCAGTAATCATTTTAAAATTCACTTTTTTAGTTTTCTTTCAGTGAGTTTAGTAATTTAGATGATATACCAAAAGTTCTGAAAAAGAGACCATTAAGGCCCCTAAGTAACTGGGAGAGGAGTGCTAAATGATGTTGAATTTGTTTCACTGAACTTAAGAATTGGGAATTCCAATCCGTTACATCATAGATTTAAAAAGAAAACACCAATCAGCAGAGAATTTAAATGTGCAGAAGAAGGTTTTGCATGTGTCATTCATAAACAGTGGTTTAAGTATCTGTCTGGACAGCCAGAGGTTGGAAGGTTGATTCCCCACTGTACCTCCCTGGCTTGATGATCCATAGGGTCCCTTCCAGCTCTACAGTTCTAAGATAATTATTATATTATTATAAATTTCCCAACTGAATTATTACATTGCAAAACTTTCTGGAAACAGTGTATGGTATAAAATGAGACCTCTAGTTTAAAAGGCTAGCAGGAAGGAAACATTGTGTGGGGTGGGCTGAAAGATTTGGGCATACCTGATATACTGCTCCAGATCCCAGGTAATATTCTTTGTAAATACTGTGGCTAAATCCTGTTAGTCTTCACTATAGTAGACAGATTGAATGAATGAGGTTTCATGAGTGAATATTTAGGTAAGTCCCCTGGATTGAATTGATCTAGTAGAGTTGGTATTAAAAGCTGGATGTAGCTTTTTTCTGTTAATGCAATTTCTGAATTATCATGCATCTACAAAAGTGGGCTCACAAATTTAGTGTCATTTGCAAATTTAATATGCATTCCCTGAACCCCCTTGTCCAAGTCATTAATAAAACTGTTGGAGGGCACTGGGCCCAGGACTGAACCTTGTAGTCAGTCATCCACTTGTTGCCTCTTCCCAGTTCAGAATAAGTGCTAATGAATGGGGTAGGTTAGGTAGGTTGGTTTGTGTTGAAGTGTAGATCCTTCAATCATCATTCTGTAAATTATAAATCTGTATTTGTTATGCATAATTCTATAAACCTTTTTGTATGTGCAATAACTTTTGCATTCTATATTGCTTTCTGATTACCTATAGATGATCACATTTTCATTATAATTATATTGTTACAGGTTTATATTAAAGTAATTGATACAAATGATCACAGACCCGAGTTTTCTACATCTGAATACCAAGTCATTATCCCAGAGGACACAGTGCCAGAGACAGAAATTCTGCAAGTCAGTGCGTCAGATAGAGATGAGAAGAATAAACTAATTTATACTGTGCAAAGTAGCATGGATCCCATCAGTCTTAAGAAGTTTCGCCTGGATCCTGCAACTGGATCTCTTTATACTTCTGAAAAATTAGATCATGAAGTCATCCATCAGCATGTTCTCACAGTGATGGTAAAGAGTCATATTCCTTGTTTTTTTAGCTGAAACAAAATATGCTCTCTCAGTGTTACTGAATATGCCTGGGACTTTCGGAGATCCTGATGAGTCTGAGAGACTGTGAACTGGAAAATCATCATTTTGAGTCCTATTTAAGGGTAACCTTTGGCAAATTACTCTTTCCCAGCTTCAGTTGTATGGTTGCAGGATGGGGGATAATCATACCAATATACCTGACAGGGTGGTTATAAGGACAGCTGAGATTGTGCTCATGAAATACTTGTTACTGAATTTTCAATGTCACCAAAGTCTGGTTGATTATTATTGAGGAAAGGGATTATGACACTTTGCTAAGCAGCACACTTCCCCAAAAAAGAGGAGAGGGAGAGGAAAGAGGAGGAAATATTTCCTTCCTACTTGGTTTATCCCTCTCCACCTACATTTCCTTGCTGGATCTAGCTAAGAAGATCCACAGAAAGAAGCACCCTTTTCTCCAGGTGCCAATGGCTTGATCAGGAATTGTGGACCTATATCAGGTGTGCATTGAAGTGTAGATTCCTACTGCATCTATTTAGAATACCTACCAACTCTAGTAAGCAGTGGTTCACTTTCATATCTAGCTGTCTCTTTCCAATGAGTTATGTAAGCAAACATGCTGACTCTTTGTAATGTACTAATCATTTTAGGTGCGGGATCAAGATGTTCCTGTCAAGCGGAACTTTGCTCGGATAATCATTAATGTTAGTGACACAAATGATCATGCACCATGGTTCACCAGTTCTTCCTACAAAGGTCGAGTATATGAATCGGCAGCTGTTGGATCCATGGTTCTGCAAGTCACAGCACTGGATAAGGATAAAGGTGAAAATGCAGAAATTGTGTACTCCATAGAATCAGGTATGTTCCAGTGGTTTTTGATAATCATTCTTGACAAACATATGTTAATTTAACTCTCACACAAAAAATCAAATGTTTGTGTGTTTGTCTCAAAATAACTTTGAAGCAGGTGGGGTAGAAACACAAAATTTTGAATGGATCACTTAAATAATTGGGTGGGTTCTGTATTGACTGGCCATGTTGGATGGGGAATCCTGGCATTTGGGATATTCTTAACTGAAATTATCAAAGCTAGAAAAAAAAGTTTTGCAAGGAAACTAATGATCTCCCGGCATAAATAAGTGGATCTTGACTGGCTGTGCTTGCTGGGAGCTTTAGTTCAAAGGAGCAACATTTCTGTCCTATGAGTACTGCAGTGACCAACATTAATATATCCAGTGGTGCCCCGCTTGATGACGATAATGCATTCCGGCAAAATTGATGTACAGCGAAATCGTCGTCAAGCAGGAAAAAAATCCCATTGGAATGCATTGAAAACCGGTCAATGCGTTCCAATGGGGGAAATACCTGCTCGTCCAGTGAAGATCCTCCATAGGGTGGCCATTTTGCGATGCCAGTGTAGCAAAAATATGTCCGGAAGACAGTGGGGAGCCATTTTGCAAACCGCCGATCAGCTGTTTTTAATCATCGTCTAGTGAACACTTGGTTCGCGGAGCAGGGTCCAAATCATCGTGAAGCAAAAAAAACCCATTGAAACCATCATTTTGCGATCGCTATAGTGATTGCAAAAACCCATCGTTAAGCGACTTCGTCATCAAGCGGGGTCATCATCAAGTGGGGCACCACTGTATGTTAACTCTCACACAATAGCATCGTTAAGCGACTTTGTCATCAAGCGGGGTCATCATCAAGTGGGCCACCACTGTATGTTAACTCTCACACAATAGATAGATAGATAGATAGATAGATAGATAGATAGATAGATAGATAGATAGATAGATAGATAGATAGATAGATAGATAGATAGATAGCATGGGAAGAAGTGGGGAGGAGCACTTGGGTGTGGTGGGGAGTGGAACTACTAAAGCCAGATATGTCTGCTAGTTTCAAATATAGTATAAAACAAATGGTCATACAATTTGTATGTAGACTTTGTCAGATCTAGTTTGTTATAGTAACATTTTGCTTTGAGTTTCTTTGCATTTCCATTGGTTTTAGCACAGTTTATTGTAAACCTTGAGTCAAAAATTTGAAAGCAAAAATCAACCACAAAACCAAGTTAGCCCTTTTTGGCTAATTACACTTTTGATAGAGGGATATCTCTTGAAATATTCTACATTTATAAAACGAAGTATACACATGGATCAGTCTACATAGGCTTAAGTGTTGCTGGCGTATTTTTATAAGTTTCAGGATGTATCCTCTATCAGATGTATAATTTACAAACATTATTACAGCATCCAGCATCTAGTTCATCAAATTGTTGTTTTTGAAATGGTAAATTTGTGATCTGTGAAATGTGTAGGTGTTTTTAAAAAGGTAGTTGGCTAGTGACAGATGTGTAAAGAGAAAATATGACAATGTATTCTCGAAGGCTTTCACGGCCGGGATCCAATGGTTGTTGTGGGTTTTCCGGGCTGTTTGGCCATGTTCTTAAGGGTTTTCTTCCTAATGAACAGAGCACAGAACCTGGCCAGAGAGACTGGCGAAACGTTAGGAAGAAGAACCTTAAGAACATGGCCAAACAGCCCGGAAAACTCACAATGACCATCAGAAAATATGACATTTTGGGTGTTAGAATATAAGAAATAGCAGTGAGCTGAGCAGATATTTCTTCACTGTGTTCCAAGGGCCCTGATAGAATATGGCTGATGGAATTTTCTGAGAAACTTCCACAGTTTAGGTGCCACCGCTGAAAATGGTGCTTTCACTTTAGACCAGGGTTGGAAAATAGTGGCCCTACAGGTGTTGTTGGACTGCAGCTCCAGTCAGGCCTAGCTAGCAGATCAAATCTAGGAACATTGGGTTGGCCACAGTTGCCTGTCACTTCTTTTATACCATGGGAACACAGAGAACAACACCCCTCCTGCTAATAGCAGAGGAGGATGTTTGGGAGAAAGAGGTCTCAGAAGTGTCCCAAACTTTAGATATACAGAGCTTTGAAGTTTGGAACTGTAGAGCTAATTTTAGTCTGGAACTAGACTGAAATTAGTGGGACTCAGAAAGAATTCGTGACACAGCAGATAGCACATAATAGAAATTGTTGCTTCCCAGTGAAGAATTTGTCTGTGCATACACATGTTCTCACACACTCGTTCTCTCACTATCCAAAGACTTTGTGGGAGGAAATGTTAAACTTTCCCATCTTTGTTTTTCTAATATTCTGAACTATTGTACAGCTAAAACATTAGGGCAGAAGTGCAAAGCATATGAAATGAGCATTCTTTAAATGCTTGTAATAGTTTATAGGATTAGTAATGGGGTATTCTAAGAATGGCACTCTGTTTATGACCTTCACTAAGAAAAAAGATAATATCAGCTGCCTACCCAAATACATAATTTAAATGTTTTTACTAAAATTTCTTCACAGTGAGCTCATGACTTTAATAACAGCTGTTTTTACTATGATCTGTAATTAAAGTATTAACACATACAGTTCCTGTTAATTTGTTGTCTTAACTTAATTAGAATTCCTATGAAGTGTGCAGCTCTAGTTTTCCTGCTAAAAGGCTTGTGTATGCCTGCTTTTGTTAAGCAGTCACACTGAAGTTCATATTTACCTAAGAACAATTTTTAAGGCAGTGTACAACTCCTTGACATTTTTAGGAGTAATTTGGAAGAGTTCTGTTGTTGTTTTTTTTAACCAATCCATGGTAGTATCTATAATATAGAAATAATAAAAGAACATTTTCATGAACAACTGATTAAGGTTCCACTGAAACTTCTAAAGAACTCACTTGTAGTTTCATATGCTAGATGCAGAGATGTAACCCAGTGTTTCAATAAGGCCACAAACTTAATATCCTGCAAAATAAAATAAAATAAAAATTCAAGTCTATTAATCTCTTGAAATCCTATGGACTTTCAGAGCAGATGCTGGGAATTCTCTGTCTCTTTAACATTCCACGGGATTTATGTGTTGGCCATGGACAAAGGGACTTCCTTCTGCTTCCAAAGCTTGTTAGTTCTAAGAAGTAATTAGTTAAGGCAGAGCTGTTCTTAATTTTTGTTAGCTGAGTGAAAAATAGCATGTTATTACAGACATTTTTGCATTATAGCATTCAGAAATTTGAAGCTGGTGTAGAATACATTTCTGTTCTCAGGTTATCTAAATAATGTTAACCTTCCATCGGTGTCACTGTTAATATCTGTAGTTCCTCCCACCAGAACTGTTATTTGTTACTCTTTCTTGTTTTTATTTTCTGTAACAGGAAATATTGGAAATACTTTTAATATACATCCCATCCTAGGCAGTATTACTACTGCAAAAGAATTGGATCGCAGCAGCCAGGAGGAATACACCTTGATGGTGAGGGCAACTGATAAAGGCAGCCCTGCACTGAGTGAAGTGACATCTGTGCACATTTCAGTCACAGTCTCTGATAACGCATTGCCAAAATTCACAAAGAGCGAATACTCTACAGAAGTCAGTGAAGGCTGCAGCACTGGCAGTTTCATTGGAATGGTGGTTGCGCACAGTCAGTCATCTGTGATTTATGAGATAAAAGATGGCAATGTGGGTAATGCCTTCACTATCAACCCAAACTCTGGTGTCATCACCTCTCAGAAGATTCTTGATTTTGAAACATTGCCTTTTTACAGTCTAACTGTTCAGGGAACTAACATGGCTGGCCAGTCCTCAAACACCACTGTGATTGTGCATCTTCAGGATGAAAATGATAACGCACCAACTTTTGTGCAGACAGAATACACGGGACTCATAAGTGAAACAGCTTCAGTTAACAGTGTGGTTCTAACGGATAGAAACGTCCCTTTAGTGATACAAGCTACAGATGCTGACAAAGGATCAAATGCTTTGCTTATCTATCAGATTGTGGAGCCATCTGTCCATAAGTATTTTGCCATTGATTCCAGCACTGGAGCCATTCGTACAGTAAATGGCTTGGACTATGAAGAGAGAAGTACATTTAGCTTTTCTGTGCAAGTGTCAGACATGGGGACCCCACGCTTATTTGCAGAATATGCTGCAAACGTTACCATTTATGTCATTGATATCAACGATTGCCCTCCTGTGTTTTCCAAAGATCTGTACGAAGCGACCATTCTGGTGCCAGTATATAAAGGAGTGAAAATTGTCAGGGTAAATGCAACAGATGCTGATTCAGAAGCCTTTTCACGACTAATGTATTCTATCACTGAAGGCAACATTGGAGAAAAATTTTCAATCGATACCAAGACTGGGCAGATTACTGTACAAAATACAACGCAGTTAAGAAGCAGATACGAATTGACAGTCAGGGCATCAGATGGCAAGTTTTCCAGCACCACATCCATAAAAATTAATGTGAAGGAGAGCAGAACAAGTCAGCTAAAGTTCACCCGCAGTTTCTATAATGCTGTGGTCCAAGAGAATTCCACAGAAGCAATGACAATAGCTGTGATCACTCCCATTGGAAATCAAATAAACGAGCCTTTGTTTTATCATATTCTAAACCCAGACAGCAGATTTAAAATTAGCTACACTTCAGGAGTCCTTTCAACCACAGCAATACCATTTGATCGTGAGCAGCAAGAGTCTTTTGACATTGTGGTAGAAGTCACAGTAGAGCATAAGCCATCAATAATTGCACACGTTGTGGTAAAGATCACTGTAGAAGACATAAATGATAATGCCCCTGTTTTTGTCAATCTGCCATATTATGCCAGTGTAAAAATAGATACTGAAGTGGGCCAACTTATTCGGCGTGTCACTGCAGTAGATAAAGATATTGGTAGAAACGGACATGTGCATTACTACCTCAAAGAAAACTATGATCATTTCCAAATCGGAAACAATGGTGAAATCTCACTCAAGAAACAGTTTGACCCAGACAACCTCAATAAAGAGTATATTCTCATTGTGGTTGCAGCGGATGAAGGAGAACCAAGTTTTTCTGCTGAAGTGACAGTTCCAGTCACAGTTGTGAATAAAGCCATGCCAGTATTTGAAAAATCTTTCTATAGTGCAGAGATACCTGAAAATATCCAGATCCATAGTCCTGTTGTTCATGTACAAGCCAACAGCCCAGAAGGCCTCAAAGTGTTCTACAGCATCACAGATGGTGATCCTTTCAATCAATTTTCCATCAACTTCAATACAGGAGTGATCAATACTTTTGCCCCTCTAGATTTTGAGGCCCACCCTGCCTACAAACTGAGTATACGTGCTACTGATTCCTTAACTGGGGCTCATGCTGATGTCTTTGTTGACATAATAGTTGAAGACATCAATGATAATCCTCCTGTCTTTACAGAGCAATTTTATGCTGCTACCCTTTCAGAGGCATCGATAATTGGAACATCTGTTGTACATGTCTGCGCTACAGATGCTGATTCTGGAACAAACAGAGGGGTTTCTTATTACTTGGTAGAGAATGACAGCAAGAGTCATGATTACTTCCACATAGATAGCAACACCGGACTCATTCTGACAACAAGGCCTTTGGATTATGAACAGTCTTGGCAACACATATTATTAGTAAGAGCTATTGACAGTGGAATGCCTTCACTAAGCAGTGACATTATTGTAACTGTTGATGTAACAGATCTGAATGATAACCCACCAGTATTTGACCAGCTGCTCTATGAAGCTAGCATCAGTGAATTGGCTCCCCGTGGGCACTTTGTAACTCGTGTCAAAGCTTCAGATGCAGACAGTTCAGACACAAACAAGCTTGAGTATTCCATATTAACAGGCAACGACAACATGAATTTTGTCATCAGCAGCAAAACTGGAGTCATCACCCTTTCAAACCTACATAAGCAGACTCTGAAGCCTCTTTATCATCTCAATATCAGTGTTTCTGATGGGGTCTTCAGAAGTTCAGCTGAGGTTCTCATAACTGTAATCGGAGCCAATCTGCATAGCCCCATTTTTGGTCAGAATGAATATGAGGTAGAACTGTCAGAAAATGCTCCATTGAACACCCTGGTGACAGAGGTGAAAGCAGCTGACAAAGATACTGGTAGCTACGGATCTATCACGTACCATATTGTGAACGATTTTGCAAAAGATAGATTTTATATTAATGAGAGAGGGCAGATATTTACTTCAGAAATCCTGGATCGTGAAACTCCAGCAGAAAAAGTAATCTTCATTAGATTAATGGCCAAAGATTTTGGAGGGAAAGTAGCTTTCTGCAGTGTCAATGTCATACTTACTGATGTTAATGATAATGCTCCTTTGTTCCGAGCAACCGAGTATGAAGTAAATATTGGATCAGATGTTCCAAGAGGTACATCTGTTGTCAAGGTTTTAGCTTCTGATGCTGATGAAGGCACAAATGCAGACATCACTTACACAATTGAAGTAGATTCTGAAAATGTTCAGGAGAATTTAGAAATTGATTTTTTGACTGGGGTAATAACCACAAAAGAAAGTTTAATTGGTTTAGAAAATGAGTTTCTTGCTTTCTTTGTTAGAGCACAGGATGGTGGAGCCCCACAGAAAGAATCTCGTGTTCCTGTCTATATAAGAATTCTCTCTCCTGAGGTACTTCTTCCAAAATTTTCAGAACCATTTTATTCCTATACTCTTTCAGAAGATATTCCCATTGGAACCGTGATTGATACTATACAAGCAGAGCATGCTCAGGCTTTGTTATATACTCTTGTTAAAGGAAATACCCCTGAAAGTAACAGAGATGAGTACTTTGTGATAGACAAGCAAAATGGAAGGCTAAAAGTTGAGAAGAACCTAGATCATGAGACAACTAAGTGGTACCAGTTTTCAATCCTAGCACATTACGTGAATGAAGGTTACAGAGTTGTGTCTTCAGTGGATGTGAGCATTCAGATAAAAGATGCAAATGACAATAAACCAATCATAGAATCCAATCCATATGAAGCATACATTGTGGAAAACATGCCAGCTGGAACAAAAGTCATCCAAGTAAAAGCATTTGACCAAGATTCTGGAAGAAATGGACAGGTTACTTACAGGTTAGACCCAACACAAGACATTGCTGTCACAGAGTCCTTTGCCATAAGCATGGAAACAGGCTGGATTACAACTCTGAAAGAGCTTGATCATGAGAAGCAGCAGAAATACAGAATTACTGTGGTGGCATCTGACAGGGCTGAAAAAATGCAGTTATCTTATACTGCCATTGTAGAAGTTTCTGTAACTGATGTCAATGACAATCCTCCACGCTTTACTGCAGAGATTTATAAAGGGACAGTCAGTGAAGATGATCCAACTGGAGGAGTAGTTGCTATATTAAGCACCACTGATGCTGATTCAGAAGAGAATAACAGACAAGTCAGCTATTTCATTACAGGTAAATATTTAGAAAAGTTATCAGATTTATTTGGTCTTAGATACTTTAAATAATCATCAGTTCCCCAATTTACCTTGGATGCCTGAAACTGTGGATACAAGGGAACCCTATATACAACATACAAGAGTATGGGGCAAAGGCCACAAGGAGGCACCTTTGTATGTTTTGTATAGGACTATGACAAACTGGATAAGTGAAACTGTGGACTATCGTTTCCTTGGATAGGGGGTCCTACTGTAGTATTATTCCTGTACATTTAATGCTTTATTATCCCTTCTCCCATTTAGATATGAAATGTGAAATCTCCCCACCCCCACCCCCGCAAACTACTGTCCAATCTCATATTGCAATTTTAAAAATGACACATTTTCCTAGCAGGGCAGAGAAGCCCAGCCTTAGGATAGAGCTACATGCTACAATATATAATGGAGCTCTGAAAATGGCAGCCACATATTGGCTGTGAAATCTGCACCATGTATCTTCCAGCAGGAAACTCTTTTGTCTACTGACTTTCTCTAATATGCCTTATCTGCTTGGTTGATGGGGCAAATTGGCCATTTCTCACTCACAAAAGCAGTATGATTTTTCACTGAACAAGCAGTGTTATTTATCATTTATGCTACCTTTGTAGAAATACTCAGTACAAATATTACATAAACTCCATACCAACCTCCCCTGCATGAAACTTATAGCAACTAATGTAACTATAATATGGTCCTCAGTTACATAGTTCACCTATTATTATTTTGTTTGGATGCTCACACTAATTGCTGGTAATCGTCTACACTATGAAGAGGATAGGTGGGGCAAGGGAAATATTTTTGAAGGTCCCAACGCCAGTAGAGCTCTTCTGTGGTAATAGAACGTGCCTCATTTCTTACATTTAAGATTTTCTTCCTTTACTGGCCAAGCATTCAGAGCTGAAGGCATTGGATGTGATTTCCCCCACAAATAACACCCCTCTGTATGCAAGCAGTGCAATCCCAGAATGCAGTTCTTGCCTAACCCTTGAAACATTTTATTATAAAAAACCTTTTTTTTAATCTGTACCTGTCTAAATAGACAGATAAATAGAACATACATTTTTCTGCCATCTTTAAATAATAAGTACAGTATTACTGCACATTACTGTATGTATTCAGAAATGTATTCAGGAGTTTTGTATATACGTGTGTGCATTTATATACAATCCTATATTTATGTATAATTTTTTTCAGAATCCAATCTCATTTTGCCTCTTTTTATTGCATGACTTTGTATTAGGAGGTGATCCATTGGGACAATTTGCTGTAGAAAATCTACAGAATGAATGGAAAGTGTATGTTCGAAAGCCTCTGGACAGAGAAGTCAAGGATAGTTATCTTCTAAATATTACAGCGACTGATGGGATGTTTGCAGCAAAAGCTATGGTGGAGGTTAAAGTCCTTGATTCAAATGATAATAGCCCTGTTTGTGAAAAGGTACTAGAACATATTTTAATGCACATTTGGTGTAGCATGAAAACATACATCATCCACCAATATTTTTCACTTAATATCCTTAAAGGGAGGAAGATCAAAAATATTTCCTAGAATGCCCTTGAAACTTATTCAAACAAAGTTGCTAGCATGTAAACATTTTATTAATCATTTATGGAATGGAATGAGAACCGTTTACAAGAATGAGAAATTAGAACTGCTTCCTAGTTTACTAAGCTAGGGATTCTCGTGGCACAGTGGTCAGACTGCTGTACTGCATCCAAAACTGTGCTCACGACCCGGGGTTCAATCCTAGGTAGCTGGTTCAAGGTTGATAGCCTTCTATCCTTCCGAGGTCTGTAAAATGAGTAGCCAGCTCGCGGGGGGGGGGGGTATTAGCCTCCATAATTAACTTGTAAACCAGAGAGTGCTTTAAGTGCTATGAGGTGTTTTTTGTTTGTTTGTTTTTCTGTTCTAAACTGCTTCCTAGTTTATTTAAGCTTTCCTGGCCTGGTCTCCTTCAGTTGGGTAGGCTTTATGGATAAAGCTTTTAATGCTCTTCATACTCCAGTATCCTTTGAGCAGGCCTGAAGAAATGAATGCAACTATTTACTCAAGAACACTGTCATTTCCCACCTGCCCTCTGTGTGTGAGACGTGACAGAAACTATCTTCACTTGTGTTTTCATTGAGTTCAGAATTGAAGGCATCTGGAGCATATGAAGGAGAAGGGGAACATTTTATACAAACAATTAAAGAAACAATGAAAAATATTAAATTATGCATTAAGTTATCTAAAACATTGTCACAGTGCTTCCGAGTCACCAAAGTGGTGAGTGCTTCACTGGCAGCAACTAGCTCTTACTAACTTGGCATGCAGTACATTGGCAATTCAGAAGAACCATAATAAAACTCCAGACAATGAGATATACTAAAAGGAAGGCATTATTTTTTGAGTCTTAAGTACTATATCCTTCCATGTTGTTTTCCTCTCTCATCTAAAATCCTTTAGCAGATGAAACTAATCATTTTTCCTTTTTCTGTATCCTACTCTTCTTTGCAGTTCCTTAATATATTTTCCCCCTAATACTTTTTAGGCATTATACACAGAGACTGTTCCTGAGGATTCTCCGCCTGGTAAACTCATCATGCAGATCTTGGCCACGGATGCAGATATTCGTTCCAATGCAGAAATAGCTTACACTCTGCATGGTGCTGGCGCAGAAGACTTCAGACTCAGCTCAGACACTGGTAAAAATCAAAAGGATTTGATAATCTGTGCCTACAGCCCTAACCCATCAATTATGATAAGTGGGGGAATCAGGACTTTGTGTTGATTGCTGTAGGAGCCCAAGGGAGGAGGGCCCCCGTTGTCCCTGGTCAGGGAGAAAAAGACCATTAGTGGTTCTGCTCCTGGCAGTAGTCTGTGAGAAGCTAGGTGTCTTGTGACCAGAACAGAGAGACACAAACCTTCTCCTTATCGGTTGAGGTACTTTCTCCACATTTAGCATGTGAATTTGCCCTAGCTGAAAGTCCCCAAATGGGGCTTTGCCAGCTGGGAAGGAGCCAGCATGGGACCCATTGGATCCTAAGCTATTCTATTCCTCCAGGCAGGGTTTGGAGCTGGCACATGCCCACATGTGCTCTGTCATTGCGTACATACGTTCTGCCCTGGTGCATATGAGCCATCGGGATTTTGAAGTGCATCAGGAGGGCTGCTGTGCCACTGTTCCCCGAGGACATATACCAGATAGGTGGGATACTAAATAAATTAAATTAAGTAAATAAATAAATAAATAAATAAATAAATAAAGGATTGGTTTGCCCGATGTGATTTTTAATGCAAATTTGAGTCTTATTCAAGCATTTGTCTTGCATGCAGGTTAAAGATATGAGAAGGAGGAATGTGCTAACCGATTCCCATCTGTCTCCAGTTTGTCTTCAAGCACATAGAGGATGACAGTCCGGATCAGAGAGGTTCCACTGTAGGGCAGCCTCACAGAATAAGTTAGAAACCTTAAAACTCAGGTTACTACTTCAGTGGAGACCTTTCACAAAATAGTGTTTCAGACTGTCACCATCTGCATATTGAGGACAGTTGGAAAGAACTATGGAAGGGCAGTGGTAGCACCTTTCTCCCTGTTTATGTGTTTAATCTACATGTGAAGCAAAGACTTGAAATGGGGCTTAGTAATCACAGGTACATGGAATTTCAGAAACTGTGGTTTAGGGAAAATGCAGTAGATTTCTCTTGCAGGTTCTGAGTACTTCATCAGACCACATCAGGGGTCCTTAAGGGTAGAGCCTTGGCAGTGTACGTTGTGTCAGACTGTGTGCATGATGCAGACACCTCAGTCTGTGTATAATTCCTTCTTCACTACCAACAGTTATGCTTTCATCTGTCAGCTTCTTCTCTCCAGTAGATTTTAAAGGGTTTTTGTTCTTCTTCTTTGGCTTCCACATCCAGCTTGAATCTTCTATGCCTTTCCCAGGATTTCTTCTACTCCAGATTACTCCCGTTTAGACCTGTTGTACGCTATGTTTTTCTGAATATGTTTCAGGGAGTTGCAGTCATATATAATTGTGCACTTCCTATAGAAGTCTCAAAAGAATTGCAATTTTTTGTCCATCATGAAGTTAAGTTTTATGAGGCAAGTTGTAAATGTCAGCAGTTGGTGCAGAATTTACTACAGAGGGGTGAGGAGTTCTTTTGTTGGCTGCTATTTGACTTATCTTAATATAGAAAGAAAACTCAAAATATTGGCCCAGAAATTGACTTTACACTTTTTGGGGGGTGGGTTCCTGTATTCTTGTTGCTGTTTGCTTTAAAACTGTTTGTTTCCTTTGTTTTGTTGCTTGATTAATAGGTGAACTGAAAACATTAGCAACACTTGACCACGAGCAGAAGTCAGTCTACATGCTTGCAGTCAAGGCTACAGATGGAGGAGGAAGATTTTGCCAGGCTAATATTATTCTGAATATAGAAGATGTGAATGATAACACCCCAGAGTTTACAGCCGATCCATACTCTATCACTGTCTTTGAAAACACAGAGCCAAAAACTCTGCTGACAAGAGTGCAAGCTACCGATGCAGATGCTGGTATGATTTATTGAGAATCATTACTAATTCAGCTTTAGTGCTGAAATCTGAGTGAGGTGTCTTAGGTTACTAGTTACCACACTTCAAAAAGAATATTGCAAAGCTGGAGTAAGCACAGAAGAAGGCAATCCCAAGTGATCGGGGGACTAAAACAACTCCCCTGTGAGGAAAGGTTAGCGTGTTTGGGGCTTTTTAACCTTTGAGGGACAGGCAGGTAAGAGGATTCATGGTAAAGGTGTCTAGAATTATGGAGGTTTCAGGAAAGTAGATACAAATATTGTCCTCTTCTCTCATGCTGCTGGGATGCATGGTTCTCCAATGAAGGACAGTGGGACTTATTCACATAGTTGGCAATCAATTTGTAGAATTTATTAACACAATTAATGACATGACATGATAAGCTGGTGGTCCACAGGCTTTTGTGGGGTGCCAAAAGGATGCTGATGCATGCTGCCTAATTGCTCCTGCTTGCACTGAGAGCAGCTGAACAAAGCAAGGAATTTTGTTCTGTGGTTTGTTTATCAAGGAGCCACTCTCCTCTGCTTCATTTCTCTCGCAGCAAACCAGAGAAAGGATCCAGGCTCTGTGCTTAGTTTGTTTCTCGGTTGTTGGGAAAGAAGGAAACTAGAAAAAGGAAGCTAGTTTGGGTGGTTCTGAAAGGAGGTCAGACAGATTCGGGGGAATGAGGCTCTCAGTGGCCTGTTAATGAAGTGAGAGATATATTAGTTCAGAGGCGGTGTGCCTTTTAGAACTAATAGCTGGTAGCTGGGCAGCAGGAGTAGACAGATGCTGTTTCATGCACATGCTGGTTTGGGGTTCTCAGAGGTATCTAGCTTGCTTCTGTGATAAGTGAATACTGGGCTAGATAATCTTTGGTCTGAATTATATACAGTGGTGCCTCTTTTGACGAGGATAATTCGTTCCGTTGAAATCGCTGTTAAGCAAAATCCTCGTCAAGCAAAATGAAAAAGCCCATTGAAATGCATTTAAAACTGGTTCAGTGTGTTCCAAGTGGCTAAATACCTCAGCGTCCAGCGAAGATCCTCCATAGGGGCGACCATTTTTGGTGCCTGTAAAGCGAGGAATCCGTCCTAAATCACAGCGGGGAGCCATTTTGCACAGCGGGTGGCCATTTTAGAGCTGCCAATCAGCTGTTTTAAAATCGTTGTCTAGCGAAAAATCGGTTCCCGAAGCAGGGAACCGATCATCATTAAGTGATTTTTCCCTATTAGAACATTGTTTTGCGATTGCACAAGTGATCGCAAAAACTTCATCGTCAAGCGGTTTTGTCGTTTAACGAGGTAATCATTAAGCGAGGCACCACTGTAGTCTGATTCAACATAGGTATTGTTTTTATGGTCTTTTTTACATATGCAGTTTAGCTGTAGCCTCAGATAGTGTTTAACCCACAGATTAACCCTCAAATAGCTTAATTCCTGGGCATGCAATACTCATCTAAATCAAAAAGTATGGTTATTAGAGATTCAGCTAGACTGTGTGTTTCACAAATCACAGCTATCTAACCCTTAAGATATTTGTCCACAACCTTGTGCTCTCCAAATGCCTTTAGCGTCATTTCTTGTCACCTCTCTGGGCCACAGACATGAAAAGTCCTGCTCTAGGGATTCTTAGATGGAGAAAAACATTCACTGCTAGTGAGTGGATATGTGCTTTTCCTGATCCCTGGAGATGGAGTGCTGCTTCTTGATGTCAAATAATCACTCAGATCAGTCCTGCAATCATGGTTTATGGATTATGATAAAATCCGAGCTGGGATTTTTCTAGATTCATCATACCCTGGAGCAGCATGTGTGTGCTAAGTCAACATATTCATACAGATGAGAAGCCAGTGCTCTTTGAATGTGTGGGATCTTTAATATGAGTAATCTTTTAATAGGGAATCATCAGATGTCTGCAAATCTGTAGATGATGACCCCAGCAGAAATCAATGAAGGAATAAATGGGTGATTCAGTGTCATGTTTTTTCTTTTCTTTCATGCATGTGGCTAGTCAGAGTTCTTGCTGAAGGAATATACTTTGAGACATCAGAGCTTTGTTTTTGTTTTTAAATTGTAGGATTAAATCGGAAAATTCACTACTCACTAATAAACTCTGCAGAGGGGCAGTTCTCTATTGATGAATTCTCTGGGATTGTTCGATTGGAAAAACCTTTAGATCGGGAGTTACAGGCTGTGTTTTCTCTGACTTTGAAAGCCGAAGATGAAGGCTCCCCAAGAAGACTGTCTTCTACTGGTACTCTTGTGGTTTCTGTCTTGGATATAAATGACAATCCACCTGTCTTTGAGTACAGAGAATACAGTGCAACTGTATCAGAAGCTGCAATGACTGGGATGGAGATTCTTCAGGTTTATGCTGCTAGCCGCGATATTGAAGCCAATGCCGAAATCACCTATTCTATAGTTAGTGGAAATGAACATGGAAAATTCAGTATTGATTCAAAAACAGGTAATCTTTAATCAAACAGGTTTTTTTATACCTGTGGGGGTAGGTGAACCTCTCCTTGGTCCCACCCTAGGACATAAGGTTTTAGTAAATCCCATCTCTTGAGGATGTCCTCCTCTGCTATAGGAAAAAGGAACATTGATACTCACCATGAGATGTTCATTTTGCCTAGTGGAAGAAGGACATTCTCCCCCTGCCTTTAGTTATTAGGACCAGTTCCTTGGAGGGGCACCTATCAGATCTGTTTTTTCTCAACTGTACAGTACTGTTTACATTCCCCTTTTCTGGTGGCACACACCTACTTTAAATAACTCGACCTTTACCATATTTCTGAATGCAAGGAGGGAAATTGGAAGCCGCCTAGAGTGGTCGTAGGACGGGCGGGGTACAAATAAAATAAATATGAATGAATGAATGAATGAATGAATGAATGAATGAATGAATGAATGAATGAATGACAATAAAATGTTGTCATTTTATTCTAGAGACCAGGATCATTTTCCCTTCCAAAGACTGTGCCACAATAGTGGAAATGCAGCAATCGAAGTGTATTCTCATGCTGAAATACTCTTGATTTCATATAGACAGCATGAAAACTCAGAAAACTGGAAATGTGGATTTAAAAATGTTTCAGATATTGTCCACACTCCACCAAGCAAAGAGGTGCAATGGTGCATTAACATGAGCACAAAGAGACATTTGAAAACATAGGCAGTTACTGACACTGAAATAATTTACTGAGTGATTTGAAACTGCAGTTGTTATCCAGTTTGCCTTAATAGAAAACTTTAATGTGTGATTTTTATTTTATTTTTTTAAATTGCAGGTGCTCTTTTTATTATTGGAAGCCTTGATTATGAGAGCTTCCCTGAATATTATCTGACCGTGGAAGCCACAGATGGAGGAACTCCCTCACTAAGTGATGTTGTAACAGTCAATATAAATGTAACAGACATCAACGACAACAGTCCAGTATTCAGTCAGGATACTTATACAGCAGTAATCAGTGAAGATGCTGAGGTTGAACAGTCAGTTATCACAGTATGTACATCTGCTTTCCCCAACAGTGACATGTTCTTATATGGTGTTTGTATTTTAGAAAAATTAATGTGATTTTAAAAAGATGCCATGGGGGAGATTGCATTGTTGTATGATTGATACCACCAACTGGAAAAATGATTGGGTGGGTGGGTCGGACGGACGGACCTCCCCGGAATCCCCCAGCCGGTTTGGCAGTCCCCAAAAATTAATGTTTCTAGGCTCTTCCCCCTCCACCCGGATGAATGAAAACCACTTCTAAGTAATCACATGTAGGTGAAGTGGAAGGATGCTGGTTCCTTTAATGTCATTCCTTTTATAATAATCCTATGATACAAATGAATAAAATAAGTGAAGATGGTTGGTTGGTTGGTTGGTTGACTGTACCTCCCGGAATCCCCCAGCCGGTTTGGCAGTCCCAAAAAATTAATTTTTCTAGGCTCTTCCCCTCCACCCAGATGAATGAAAACCACTTCTAAGTGATCACATGTAGGTGAAGTGGAAGGATGCCAAAAATTAATGTTTCTAGGCTCTTCCCCCTCCACCCGGATGAATGAAAACCACTTCTAAGTAATCACATGTAGGTGAAGTGGAAGGATGCTGGTTTCTAGTCTCTTCCCTCTCCACCCAGATGAATGAAAACCACTTCTGATCACATGTAGGTGAAGTGGAAGGATGCTGGTTCCTTTAATGTACAGTAATTTCGGTGAATTTAGGGCTGGCCAACAGTTCTGTTGCAGTCACCGTGTATGCTGGGAAGTAAAATAAGTAAAGATGGGTAGATAGATTGGTACAGTAATTTCTGTGAATTTAGGGCTGGCCATGAGTTCTGTTGCAGTCACCGTGTATGCTGGGGATTCTAGGAGTTGTATAGTCCAAAAATATCTGGTTTGATAGCTGAGTGAGTTAGGTTTCTGACTTGGGGAGTTCAGTTCCCCACTGTGCATCCCAGAAGAGCCAACCTGTGTGACTTCGGGCAAACTGCACAGTCCTAGGATGGCCCCAGAAGAAAGGAGTATTCTGAGTACACGTCTGCGTACTCTTTATCTAGACAACTCCAAAAAGGGTTGCTGTGACTTAGAATTGACTTGACAGCACACAGTTATTATACTGTAAGTTGGCTAAATGGCTTAGTGGTCTATATACAGTATCCGGCTGTGGAGTCAGAGGTTGGGAGTTCAATTCCCTGCTGTGCCTCCTAGAGAACAGTCAGCCTGTGGAGTCAAGTTTAAGCTGCACAGTCTGAAAGTGTTCCCAGAGGAAGAAAATGTTAAAACCACTTTTTTGTATTCTTCACCTAGAAAACCATGGAAAGGATCACCATAATTTGGAATCAACTTGACAGCATGCAGTTATTATTATTATTAGTCCAAAAATAACTTTTCAGATCTCTCATTGTTACCATTTTCAAAATAGTATGATTTCAAAGTGAAGGCTTAAAAAAACTGGAAAACACAAATTATTGTATTGGAAAATTATGTTCTGCATTGTAAGTGGATGTTTAAGAAAATTAGAGATGAGTAATTAATTTAGGTAGCCCTCCTTGTATTTTGAATTTTGGAATTGTTACTTTGAGAAACTGAGCTCATTGAATATGTGTCAGTGCCCCTCTAACGCTATTGTGAATAACCTCTAGGTTATAGCTGCCGATGCTGATGGGCCTTCAAATAACCACATTCGCTACACTATTATTGATGGCAACCAAGGGAACCCGTTCACAATTGACCCAACCTTGGGTGAGGTTAAAGTGGCTAGACCTCTTGACCGAGAGAAGGTAAATTTCTGCTTTTTGAGATGAGAGGCACGCTCCTACAAATAGCATTTCACCATGATGTCCCATGTGTTTCAGTTATTAAACTAAATTAATAAGAAATACAAGAGACCAGAGTTTTCTAGTGACAAAAAACCCAGGCCTTCATAGTGTCTGATTTGGGAGTCCTTATTTCATAGGTACCTGTAATAACTGGATTTTACATTTGTACTAGTTATGGTTCTCCCACCCCCACCCCTTGTAGTGGCATGGTTAGCATCTGTTACAGTCAGTTGCTCTGCTTGTGTCAGTAATCCTTTATTGGAGTTGAAAATATCGAAAGTAGCTGAGAATTAATGGTTGTGAATGTGGTAATCATGTAATTAAAGTAGACCAAAGGTATAAGAAACAACCGTATGATTGTACTGAGGCATTTGTGAGAAAAGACATGACTGGGTTCCGACATCTTGAACCCAGTTCTTCAGACTATGATTTGGGTATTCAGAAGTATTCCTCAAGCTTGCATGTTCTCCTTTTCTTTCTCATGAAGTGGGGATTCTTTCACCCACTTCCTGGATTTCTCCATTTTTTTATTTATTTTTAATTACATTTCTTTGTTGCCTTTCTCACTGCCATGGAACTCAAGACAACTCATAAATCATTTTAAAAAGAATTTAAAAATAATATAATAGCAGTGATTTAAACAAGGAATTAAATAAGGAATTATTGTGATCACAAATAAAGAATTGAAAAAGCATTTAAAAACACATTTAAAGGGATATATTAGCACAGGTGTAGGGCAACTAGCTATTTTAAAATTAGATATTAAACATGAAAATATTTTCAGTAGCTGCTGAAAAAAAGAGAAGAGAGGGACCAACCTAGCCTTACTTGGAAGGGCATTCCATAACCTGGGAGCAACCACCAAAAACGTGTGCTCTTGAGTTCCTGTCCAATATACCTGTAAAGGTGACAGGACCAAGAGAAAGGCCTTGGACAATTTTAAGACCCAGGGAGCATTATTTTGGGAGATATGATTATTAGACATGGGGATGAATAAAAAAGAATCATGATATTAGTCAGAAATTGCTGATTCATGTAATATTTGTTGCTTTGTATCCATCAGTTCTAGAGGCTCTGACAAATACAAAGTGATGAAATGATCCTTTTTATTTGTCCCATAGAGCAAGCTAGGCTGCCAGAATTGCCATTCCAACAGCCTAGTTTGCTCTCTCTCCGCATATGGTCCCTCCAAACAGCTGTTCAATGGCCCCACTCTCTCTGCCCCCACAGCCTACCCCCTTCCTACTACCCCCATCACACCCCTAACTTGTCATGCCACCACCGCCACTGCTACCAGAATGGAAGCTAGGCTGCTGGAATGAAAACCGCCATTGAATCAGGCTAGCCTGCTCTCTCTGTGTACAGCAATCAGCTGAAGGAAAGAGGAAAATGCATGACGAGGAAACATAACTGTAGTATTTTCCTGAAAATGATTTAAGAATTTCAGGTTCATAATGTGTGAACTGAGCCAATTTAAGTAGTTCTCTCTTGGAAAAATAGCAGAATTGTAGATTGTTACTGAAGGGGTTATAGTTGATCTTTTAATAGGGCTGTAACAGTGTATGTGTAACTTGAAGCTGTATAAGCCACTGGGAAATTTGCACCAAGGTGGAAGTCATAGCATGGACAGTGGGTGATCAATTGCGTGGTTAATAGTGTGTTCAGTTTCATGGTTTATTGTGTAGTCATATGAAATCGCCTAGGCATAGCTCCCTAAGAACCTCTGAAGGCATAACTTTGCACTATGCCAAGTGCAATTGCGGACATTGGATTTCAGCCAGTGTAACATTTATGTATGACTGCAACCACTGCAGAATATCCTCTTTATGATATTTTGTAATTTTCTCTTTGGAAAAGAACATTGCCTATTTTGTCTGAAATTTCTTAAAAATTCTATTTCTTCTCTCTCTCTCTCTCTCACACACACACCCCTCTCCCTCTCTCCCTCCCTCCCTCCATCCCTGTCTATATTTTACTTGAAAGATCTCAGGTTACACTCTGACAGTTCAGGCCTCAGACAATGGAAGTCCACCTAGAATCAACACCACTACAGTCAATATTGATGTGTCTGATGTAAATGACAATGCACCAGCCTTTTCAAAAGGGAACTATAGTATTATCATCCAGGTAATCTATCATACTATATTATTGAAGTGGACTGTGTAGCTTCTGTATTACTAGAGAACTGCAACCTTTATAGGAAATAACTACAGTCAATATTGATGTATCTGATGTAAATGACAATGCACCAGCCTTTTCAAAAGGGAACTATAGTATCATCATCCAGGTAATCTATTTATCATACTATATTATTGAAGTGGACTGTGTAGCTTCTGTATTACTAGAGAACTGCAACCTTTATAGGAAATATAGTTCATCAGGAAAGTCATTCTCAGTATGGCTTGGTAATGTGATTGTTGACAAGGTCCTGAAGTATATAAAATTGTTAACCATTTTATGTCATCCTGTAGGTGAGGAGTTGACTATCAGTGGTTACTTCTGGCTGAAATAACTATATTAGTTTATCTTGGTTAACTGCTATTTGTGTTGGCCACTGATCTGTCCCTTCCCCATGTGTCATAAAATGTGCAAATAACTCAGAGAAGAAAAGAAGGGGTGTCTGCTTTTTTTTGTTATTGGTAATCTTTTTATTGGGCTTGTCTTGCTGTGTTTGAAATGTACGTACACATCTAAGCTTAGTCTGTACTCCTAAAACTAAACAGACAAACTAAACAAGCAGCAAGTTTGCACAGTGTCATTTGAAGTCTACACTTCAGTTGCTAAGGGGCCTTGCACTGTCCGATACACTTCGAAATTAGAGGTGTAGATTGAGCTAAATTTAATTAAAGTAACAGAGAGAAAGTGTCATAAAATGATAACTCAGAGAAGAAAAGAAGGGGTGTCTGCTTTTTTTTTGTTGTTGTTGTTATTGGTAATCCTTTTATTGGGCCTGTCTTGCTGTGTTTGAAATGTACGTACACATCTAAGCTTAGTCTGTACTCCTAAAACTAAACAGACAAACTAAACAAGCAGCAAGTTTGCACAGTGTCATTTGAAGTCTACACTTCAGTTGCTAAGGGGCCTTGCACTGTCCGATACACTTCGAAATTAGAGGTGTAGATTGAGCTAAATTTAATTAAAGTAACAGAGAGAAAGTGTTGCATGTACAATTTTAAGTATAAGTATGAGCTTTAACAAAAAATAGAAACAAGCCTCAAATCAAAGAGACAGCAAAAAGATCATTTTGCAATAGGAAAGGAATAAAGAATGTTGGCACCAATTTTCCAAATTTATTAATTGACCAAAATCCTATCAATGTTCAGTTAAGGTTGGCATGACTTAATTAAAGTAACAGAGAAAGTGTTGCATGTATAATTTTAAGCATAAGTATGAGCTTTAACAAAAAATAGAAACAAGCCTCAAATCAAAGAGACAGCAAAAAGATCATTTTGCAATAGGAAAGGAATAAAGAATGTTGGCACCAATTTTCCAAATTTATTAATTGACCAAAATCCTATCAATGTTCAGTTAAGGTTGGCATGACTTGTCAAGGCTAAGTGCGGCTGCGGCACATCTTAGTAGTCTAGCTAGACCAAACACTCAACTGAGATGCACCCCAGCATATCATCAGCTATAATTACTTGCGGCAAGTTTCAGGATTCTGGCCATTCCCCTGAAATTTTTTTAAAAGTACAGATGAACTTATGAGTAGGTTTGTTAAAGAGACTACAAGCCTTCTCATTGGTTTTGATTTTCATATTTAAAAGCCCATTTTTGATGTTACTTTGTATACCACACTTGGATTTATCCAAAAAAAGAGAACTATGGGGTTAACTTTGCTAACCATTGTGTATGACATTTGACTTTTGAGTTCATCACATCAAAAACTAGCAGGAGTGTTAATGCCAATATCATAACACAGAGTTAATGACCTTGGTCATGATAGGGTTTTGAGCTCAACATAAATGTCTACAGCATAACTATCCAGACAAAGAATGGGAGACAGACAGCTTTGTCCTCCTTTAACCAGATAGGAAGTGGAATGACAGAGAGATTAAAAGCTTTGCTTCACAAGGAGGTTATGACACAGTCAGGAAGTAATCCTGGATCTTTGGGCTGTCAGTCATTTTGTACATAAGGACTGTCCTAATAGGTCAGCTCATTATCCTCCCTAACCCTGTAGCAAAGAAAAACATAGGGAAGTATCTGTATCTTTGAGGCTGGTAAAATGGTTCCTTTTGTTTTTCCAAAGTAGTTCTGAAGTGATTAGTAGCATACAGTAGATAACTAGGCCATGGTGGGGTGCGGTGTGTGTGTGCAAGTGTCAAGTACCAAAATTCTGTTTAAGGAAGTCTCCACAGCTCCATCAGAATTTTGCTGAGCGGCAATATGTGGAATTTTTCAAGCTTTACACATTAGCTAGCAACTGAGGTTGACTATGTAGTGAGCTAATGGCAAGATCACTTTATAGAATAGCAGAGCAAACAGCAAAAAACAAAATGTTGCCCGTTAGGGACAACATTCTAAATTTACAAAATGAAATATTCTTTCTAAGGAACTTTCCAGGAGGTAATGGTGTGTGCAAACTAGCCTGATCACATTATAACAAAGGGGGAAAGGTGTTATAGTATCTGCTGCTTCTTTCTCCTTTTTGTAGGAAAACAAGCCTATTGGGTTTACTGTCCAGCAGCTAGTAGTTACTGACAAGGATTCCTCCCACAATGGACCGCCTTTCCTTTTCACTATTGTGAGTGGAAATGAAGACAATGCTTTTGAGATAAACCAGCAAGGAGTACTTACCACTGCTATTCAACTAAAACGCAAAATGAAAGATCATTATCTTCTTCATGTTAAGGTATGAAAAGCTATGTTTGAAATATGTTGGAATATTTTTGCTGCTGCTGTTCATTTTAAATATTACACTTGCAAATACTGTTGTATATTACAAAGATATACCATAATTTGAAATGTGCATATCAGTTTCTCTAATCTGGAGTAGCTTCATTATGGCTATATCACAGCTATATTGAAACATATAAATTCCCCTCTCCACCACTCTAAAAAAAATTGTACACCAAAAAATGATGCTTCCTTTGGACAAACATGTGTGTTGTTTTCTGTGATCAGACAGCCAGTCGCCAACAGAGAGTGCACAATGTCATATTGGAGCAGTGAACTCACTAGTGAACCCAAAACCTGAACAGTCCTCATATAATCCTCTGTACTGGTCGGATCAGTGAGTAATTTATAACCAGAAATTAGGTAGGAGGTATTAAGTAGCTTCTACTGTTCATCCTCTAATCAGTGGTCCCCAACCTTGGGCCTCCAGATGTTCTTGGACTTCAGCTCCCAGAAATCCTGGCCAGCAGAGGTGGTGGTGAAGGATTCTGGGAGGTGTAGTCCAAAAACATCTGGAGGCCCAAGGTTGGGGACCTCTGCTCTAACTGATTGAGCAAAACAGGCCCAACATCGACCGTTCTGCACCTAACAAGACATCTGGCTCCAATGTGGTGGTGAGCTGGAACTAACTATGGCACGGGATACCATATCATATCCATATTGCCTGAATAATGTATCTGTTAATGGCTGCAATGTGTGGCAGGGGAGAGCACGATAGAACCAAAGAGGTTTTCATAATTGGGCATGCTATGCACATTTATTTCAACAAGTGAAGCAGCTGTTATTCATGGGAACCTTATCTAAGTCACAAGCATGAAGAACTGAAAGTGCCAAATCAGAGGCCAAAAACCTCACCCGGTTTAAGTTGAACCCTGGAGGCAGAGAGAGTGGAGAAAATTCCTGCCTCCTCCCAAAATAGAGGCCTTCTGATTTTTGTTGAAGTGTTTGGGAACATGTTTAGGAAATTGTAATTCGATAACTCACATGGATATCAAGTGCATTTGTTGAATAGTTTGTTGTGTGTCTCATTGAATCCTAAAAGGAATAGCTGTTTTTTAATTGTGAAGAAGGGGAGAAAGATGCATCACATGCTCCACCTGCTGTTTGGTAATGGTACTGCCTTCCTTGCATATTTCATTACCATCCAGAGTGTTTCTCCGTGGCCAAAAATCTTGTTTGTTACTCAAACTTTTTGTAAATTTACTGGCGTAACACAATTCAATTGGAATATACCATTGGAATATACAATCCTGTTAGAAACCTTTTCAGAAGTATTCGGCAAGGTGGTGGGGGAGATGATACTGTACTTGGTTATAAAATGTTGCATTGTCCTTCACTACCCCACACCCTGTCTCTAATTACCTCTGCAGGAGCAACCAGTCTAACAACAGATTGAGGAGAGGGACAAGACTGGGGGAGGGCAGCCTGGCAGGGGAGGAAGCTTAATTATTTTTCTTATTTTAGCTGAAAAAGCCTGAATGAGCACTGTACAATAATGGTCCCCAACCTCTTCTGAACCGTGAACCAGTTGAGGGGGCAGGATCTGTGTGCATGAGGGTGGAGCACTCCCATGCTCATGGGTGGGCAGGGCACACTCTACGGGGGGGCACATGTGTGGATGGGCAGCCCACGCTCAGAGGTGGGCAGGGCACCCATGCATGCGGGTGGGTGGGGAGTGCATGTGGGGCAGTGGGAGATCTGTCTCCGCAGCCCGGTCCTGCCAATTCCACAGACCAGCACAGGCAATGGACTGGTGGTTGGGTGTCTCATTGAATCCTAAAAAGGAATAGCTGTTTTTTAAAGATGCATCATATGCTCCACCTGCTGTTTGGTAATGGTACTGCCTTCCTTGCATATTTCATTACCATCCAGAGTGTTTCTCCGTGGCCAAAATGTATAAGCACTTCCGCTTTGGCACAGTTAGAGGTACTGTGTATGCAGCACTGAGTTAGGCAAGCATAGATGCATGACAAGATTTTAACCAAAGAATGACTGTCCAGAAACTAAGGTGTCTTTGCAAAATATACTAGAAAATCTGGTTTTATTGTGAAATTAGATTCATGATTGAAAATAAGATTTTAGCCAAAGAATGGTTGTCCAGAAACTAAGGTGTCTTATTGTGAAATTAGATTCATGATTGAAAAATCTAAGTGCCAAACCTTTTCTATAGCCATTTATTGTATGTGTTAAAGTGCTGTGTCATTTTTCTAAAACAACATATATGATTTTAAAGACTTATCATGCTGTTTTTGAAGATGGCATTTGTTCTTTTTTATTGTAAAATCAGTTACACACATTGAACCTCTGCAGATACAGAGGCTCTTATTTTAATGGATGGGGAACGGGATAATGAATGTAGTAAATCATAGCTGTAAATAAACCAGGGGATTCCATATATGTAACTGATCACTTAGAATGGATATAGACAGCAACCTGTTATTGTGATTCCATGCATACAAATTTAGAGTTTTCCAATTTTCATCTGTGACCATAGGAAGTGCCTTCTAGACAGCAACCTGTTATTGTGATTCCATGCATAAAAATTTTCCAGTTTTCATCTGTGACCATAGGAAGTGCCTTCCAGAGTATCTGTCATACAGACGACTCTTCAGAAATCGTAGCTGTAGTGAGAGGTCTGTGTGGGCTCTTGATCGTAGTCCAGAATTTGAAACCAAATTGTGATTTTAAAAAAATGACAGTTCTTCATGGATTAATCGTCCAGTATCAAATTTACACTGAGGCACAAGACCTTTACCTATTTAATAATTACCTTCACCATATGAAGAATTTAGCTGATGAAACGGCACAAAAACTCATTGTTTCTTTACCATTTCCCACCAGGTGGCTGATAATGGAAGACCACAGTTATCATCTTTGACTTACATTGACATTAGAGTTATTGAAGAAAGCATCCATCCTCCAGCAATTCTGCCATTAGAAATCTTCATCACAGTCTTTGGAGAAGAATATTCTGGTGGTGTCATTGGGAAAGTACATGCAACGGACCAAGATGTTTATGACACTTTGACATACAGCATGGATGCTGAGATGAAATCCCTGTTCTCTGTCTCTAGCACAGGTGGCAAGCTGATTGCCCACAAGAAGCTAGACGTAGGGCAGTATCTCTTGAATGTGACAGTTACAGATGGAAAATTTGCTACTTCAGCTGTTATTACAGTACATATCAAACAAATCACACAGGAAGTCCTAAACCACAGCATAGCAGTCCGTTTTGCCAACTTGGCTCCAGAGGAATTCATTGGTGATTATTGGCGTAATTTTCAAAGAGCTTTAAGGACTTTCTTGGGAGTCAGAAGAAATGATATACAGATTATAAGCTTGCAACCATCTGACCCTCCATCCAACCTTGATGTCCTACTGTTTGTTGAAAAGTCTAGCAGCTCTCAACATCCAGTCCGAGCCCTGCTCCACAAGATAAACTCCTCTGTGGCGGACCTTGAAGAGATCTCCGGTGTGCGGATATTGAATGTTTACCACAAGCTCTGTTTGGGCCTGGATTGCCCTTGGAAGTTTTGTGAAGAAAAAGTGACCATGGATGAGAACGTCATGTCCACCCACAGTACTGCCAGGCTGAGTTTTGTTACACCCCATCATCAGAGAAATGCAGTTTGCCTTTGTCAAGGTAAGGAAAATGTGTACGATAGGATGAAAAATGAGGACTGTAAAATCTCTATAAAACGAATGCTATAAAGTCTTCAAAAAGGATTTAGGAAGTACTCTTGAACAGAAAATACAAGAATCCACTTCAGTGCATTTCTCACTTCAAGGTCCCAGTCTTAAGAAGGAAGGGTTCAGAAGCAAGGGGGAAAGCAAAGTGGAAACCCTTTTAGTGCTAATTTTTACTTGCCATGTTTTAAGGAATATCTTGAGTAATTAAGAGTTTCTTATCTGCCACTCCCCCTCATATAGTCTTTTGATTGATTTCTGTTCAGCAATTGCACCACAATAATTCTTTGCTATAGTCTTTAAGAGAGAGGGTTCTAGCAGTCTTGCTGAAAAATGGTATGTCCTTGAGAATGTGGATTACTGCCCATAAGGAGTTTGAAAAAGATAAAAGGTACAGATTCATTGAGGTAGCTAACATAAAATGATAGTATCAGGTTGGGAGGGGGGGACAACAAAGAGCACAGCGTCAAATGAGCAATTCCAGCGGAAGCAGATATTTTAGGAGCTCAGAAATGCCATATCAATTGTGCTTTCTTGGTACCTGGCTTGTTTCCTTGTCACCTGCTTTTAAGAAAGTTATCTTTTTATCATCCGTTGCTCCTAAGCAAAATTTGGGCTTTGGGCTTCATTGTCCTTGATTTGAAAATGGTTGTGTTTTGGAGGAGGAGAGCTGGAAATCAGTTTTTGTCCTTACGGTTTATTTTGCAGAAGGAAGTTGCCCCCTTGTGAACAGTGCCTGTGAGGGAAATCCGTGCCCTGAAGGTACTGACTGTGTAGGAGATCCTAGAGAAGGAAAATACACTTGTGTTTGTCATGGAAATACTGCTCAGTGTGCTGGTAAGGATCAGCTCAAAACAACTCTTTAGCCTTCTCACACAAGAAATGGAGTTTTGTTTTGTTCATTTATTATATCTGTGTGTATGTACAAAATGGAAGAGAGATGATGCTGGACTACCACATTTAGAAATAAGATATGACACTCTCTTTGTTAGACTGAGGAGAATTTGCTTAGGCACACATGTGATAATTATGTTCTCAGCATATATCATTTTGAACAGAATATTTCATTTTGAAATCTGTTGTTCTGCTACAATATATATATAAAGCTATATTTTCCATAAAATAAGTTTGCTTCCCAACCTCCCTTTTACCTGACTGTTAGATGACTGTACTTGACCCATGCCTTCTTCTTTTCTTTTTAAACTTTTAGCGGGACCAGCCATGACTTTTACTGGAAACAGCTACATAAAATATCGCCTCATGGAAAATGAAAACAAGGAAGAAATGAAACTCACAATGAGGCTCAGAACATACTCGGCTCATGCAGTTGTCATGTATGCCCGAGGAACAGATTATAGCATTTTAGAGGTATATAACTCCAAATACTAAAAGCAAACAGAGAAATAAACCTTTAAGTTAAAACTATAGCTAAAAATTACTTCAGATTTACTTAGAAATCTAATTTACATCTAAATTGTCACGAGCTTAAAATGATTTACTTAATTCCATGCACTTACACAGAGTTTAGGATTGAACAGTCAAAGGAACCATCCTAGCTTGCACAACAGAAGGACACTCAATAATTAGCAAAATATGTGCTGCCTTTTTGAAGAGTGAAGACTCTACTTACTATGGCTGCTCACTTATGCTGCAAGTTCCTGTTTGTACAGTAAGGAGCACAGCAAAACACATTTGTTGTAACCTGAAAGAGAAGAATAAATTAAATATACAAAAACAGATGTGTTCAGCAGCCACTGAGGTGTTGAAAACTAAATCAGTCATTCTTGTTGACCAAAAAAGTTCTAGGTCTTTGGCCACAGAGAAATTACTCTAGTTCCTAATGATCAAAATCACAGGTGCAAAAAGCAAAAAAAGAAAAAGAAAGAAAAGAAAAGAAAGAAGGAAAGAAAGACAATTAGGACTAAGAGTATATTTACATTCGAGTAGAGGTTCAGATGTGCTCCACCTCGCATAAACTGGAAGACATTGTGGGAATCTCTACCCCAAAAGCATAATCACTCTGATATCATCTTTTCCCACTCTCGGTAGCCATCTCCCCTCTGTTCAGACAGTGACATGGAACAACCTTTTTTCACTCAAGGAGGAAAACCTTCAGAAGGAGGAGGGACATCCCCAGAACCTTAATAGGCCAGATGCAGGCCCTTGACAGGCTGGATTAAGTTCATGAACCAGAAATTCCCCTCCCTACCATGATATCAACAGATGAGCATCATAGATGTGTTCAAAATATATGAATGAAACAGTTGCCAGTGTTGTCACTTTATGTTATTGAACAGGAACTTTCAACTCATGTGAATGAGAAATATTTTTTCCTCTAGGTGATTCTGGCGCAGTTGTCTTGTAATGGGTAGCAGCAAATATGTGGTCGTGTGAGCAAATGTCTCTGACCGCTGCTTTTCCTCACCAGAGACTGGTGGGTGAAGAAGCAGAGTGACTTTGTTCTGCATGCTGCAGATACATCTCTCAGTGGGGGTAGCTGGAAATAATACTACTCTGAGTCATTATTGGGAATAAGAGCTGGTATAATATGCATGTGTGTGCTGTCTTTCATTTGTATGTAGATCCACCATGGGAAGCTGCAGTATAAATTCGACTGTGGAAGCGGCCCAGGAATTGTGTCAGTGCAGAGCATCCAGATCAATGATGGCCAGTGGCATTCTGTGTCCCTTGAAGTCAATGGAAATTACGCCAAGCTAATTCTGGACAGGGTGCACACTGCATCTGGTATTGCTCCTGGCACTCTGAGGACGTTGAACCTGGACAACCATGTCTTTTTTGGTGGTCACATTCGGCAACAAAGTGTGAGACATGGAAGGAGCCCACAAGTTAGCAATGGCTTCAGAGGCTGCATAGATTCCATTGTACTTAATGGTCAGGAGCTGCCACTGAACAGCAAACCCCGGAGTTATGCACACATGGAAGAATCGGTGGATGTATCTCCCGGATGTTTACTGAGTCCTGCAGAAGATTGTTCAAGTAGTCCATGTCAGAATGGGGGCATTTGTAATCCACTGCCCAGTGGAGGTATGTTTGGTTTTGTGCAACACTTAGCTCAGGTAATGCAGTAAATACTGCTTTCATATTTGCTGGCTGAATATGAACATATAGCAGAGATAACTAGTTGAGCCTACAGTATACTGGACTGAACGCTGTCTTTGAGTGCCCTTGCTTCTTGATGCCCAATGCAAATGTTCATGTGGTTTAGGTGTTGCTCTTTTTTTAAAAAAAAACATCGGCTCAGCTTTCTTGTGCCTCACCTTTTTCTGTGTTGTGGCCCACAAGTGCTGTTGAAAGTCGTCGTCACTTACTATCGAAATCAACTAAAGTACTCTCAAGAGCAAATGCCTTGAGGTCCATCCAAAATCCTTTCCCCAGTACAGTGGTGCCTCGCTTGATGATAATTTGTTCCGTTCAAATCGCTGTTAAGTGAAATCCTTGTCAAGTGAAATTTAAAAACCCCATTGAAATGCATTGAAAACTGGTTCAATGTGTTCCAATGTGCTAAATACCTCAGTGTCCAGCGAAGATCCTCCATAGGGCAGTCATTTTCCGGTGCCTGTAAAGCGAGGAATCCATCCTAAAGCACAGTGGGCAGCCAATTTAGAGCTGCCGATCAGCTGTTTTAAAATCGTTGTCTAACGAAAAATCGGTTCCCAAAGCAGGGAACCGATAATTGTTAAGTGAATTTTCCCCATAGGAACATCGTTGCGATCGCAAAAACTTCATTGTAAAGTGAGGCACCACTGTATTCACAGTTGTACATTTTGCCATGCACTCACATTATATTGCAAACGTATGCCCATACTAAGCCCCTCTCAGTGCCAGATTCATATTAGCTCTTGTTTTTAATAATTATCTTAACTATAGGGGGACAAATGGATTTACTAAGATTGCCTGTGCACATTAAAATAATGTTGCCATTGCCTTATATTTCTTTAGACAGCAACCATATGAAATCATAGCCCCAACCATGAAGCAACATCCCTACAGACACTCTTGTGGAAGGATGTGATGTTTTCATTTATGCAAGTGACTAATTGACTAGTTTTTAAACTATTCTATTTTATTTATTTATTTTTTAGTTTAATGACTTTTTTTAAGGTACTTAGCTATTTCTAAAGTTTCACACAATCTTGATTTTAATCTTTGGAAAACCAGGATAGGATTTATGTGTTTCAGATTAAGGAAACAGGAATTTTTGCACAGATAATATATTGTTACAGTTATTGGTGGTCCTGAGAACGTATTTACTGACTATCTGGTAGTTTCACCTTCAGGGCACCTTGTGAATCTACTCATGCCGTGCATTAGTGTGCTCAAACGAACATGGTGGCCATTTATATATTAGGTTTAGGTTTTAACAAAGCCCTACAGATTATCTTTCCATGCATGATAGAAACATTTGTTTTATACATGTTGTTGATTTTAAAGTGTGCTTTCCTTTGCAGGTTATTATTGTAAGTGTGCAGCTCTGTTTATGGGAACGCATTGTGATCTAAGTGTCAACCCATGTGCTTCCAATCCTTGCCTTTATGGTGGCACCTGTATTCCAGTAAATGATGATTTCATCTGCCAGTGCAGAGGCCTGTATACGGGTCAGAGGTACATTTTCTTTACTATGTGTCTAAGGTGTCATTTTCCATAGCATCCTTTGTTTTTCTCTACAGTCTGTTTGAGCATGCATTCTTTGAGCAAGTTTTACACATAACATTTTGTAAAGTGTAGAGCCAAGATATTTGATGTGAGAACATTTTTTATTGAGGGTTCCAGATAATGTCCAGTATATTCTGAAAGAATCTTTTTGTCTTGTGATACCATGTTCCACAAGTTTGTCAATGTATTTATGGACTGGTAGCTGGAAAAGTAACCTTTTTGAAGTAAAACTCCCAGAATCCTCCAACCAACATGGCCAGTGGTCATGATGGCTAGTGAACTATAGACTGGAAAAGTAACATTCCCAGGTTCTATTACAAACACAAGTTGGTGATGGTACTTGATGTCATTGTTGAGATATATGTTTTTACTACGTGGAAGATCACTGAAAATATCTCTCCTATTCTTCTAGGTGTCAGATTGGTCCATATTGCAAAGACAACCCATGCAAAAATAGTGGAAAATGTATTGATAGCTTAGATGGACCTGTTTGTGAATGTGAGGCAGGTTTTCATGGTGAGAGGTTAGTAACTTTGTACCGTTCATATACATGTGTGTGTGTGTTTGTGTGTATCTTTATGAAGATACTATTATGGTTGCAATAAAAGGGAGGAAATACATTGAATCTTAGAAGTAGACTTTGCATGGAGTATTGTCGGTTTGTATTACTGTCGTAGGCTGCAGTATAAATGTATCTGTCAAAGCTGGCCTTAAATCATAGTTCTGCACAGCATTCATAGTTAAAGAATGGGAGTCCACATCATTCTAATGGCAGAGGGGGGGGGAGGAAGGTGGGCAGGAGGCAGAAAAATGTTCTGACTGTAGAACTTGGGAGACTGGTTTGGATGCAACACAACAACATTGTTTAGAGTTCCTGCAGTGCTGTATATGAAGTCTAGAGACTCAGTGATGTCCAACCTCTGATAGAATAAAAGAAGAAGAAAAAAGATAGCTTCCATGTCAGGATGGTTCCTAACTTTAATTATTTTTTTTAAGTTGAGAGAACCTGTGCTTAACTGATTCAGAAGAAAGGGCCTTAGAGGGGCCCTACTGGAGCAAAGCTATATATGGCCTACCTAGTCCAGCATTTTGTTCACATTGTGCCCAACCAGTTGCCTGTGCGAATATCATAAGCAGGACAGGAGTACAACAACACTTTGCTGCTCATGCCTCCAGACAGCTGCTGGGCATCCAGTGCTGCATAGCTGCTTTGCTGCTGTATGGACACTAAACTTAGTCAATCATGCATTGGTGGTGTGTTTTTCTGCTAATCGGATTAACCCCTTTAAAAGTTCCAAAATAAGTACAAAGCAAAAAAAAAAAATACTCGTACTACACATATATTAGAGATACTTGGGTATTTTCTTTGTTTGTCGTGGTGCCAGCATGTTAAGCGTTCAAGCAATATTGTTTCAGTAGAACAGATCTAAAGAAAAATTAATTGGTGATTAGCTTTCCTTTAAGATCTCTCTTTCATCAGGAAGAGGATTTGTACTCATGATTTTGCACTCCAGAGGGAAGAATATTTACAAGCTTAGTAATCCTTTTGTTTACATGTTAGAACAGAGGATTGCTAACACTTTGAGTAGGAAACAAGGGGGCAGTTTTGACCTGAGACTTTTCTAATGAATAACATTTCTCTGCTTGGTTTGAAATATTTTGAGTTATTTTTTCATAAATGTTTGTGTTCATGTGATTGAATGATTTTCCCAAAATGTCCAAGTAGTGGAACAATGGAAGCTCTCAAAATTCCTTGAATTCCAGAATTGCTGGATCTGGAAGGCATGGATTGAAGTACTGATTTTTATATTGGCTGCAGTCTATGGAACCAGGCTTGCGATCCTTATTAAAGAAAGAGTGATAGCTATAAACTATTGGTAGAAAAGCCTGGATGCCCTTGCAGTGCTTACTTAATGCTACATTGCATATTAGGAGCAGTATGACAATGGAACAAATTACTTTGGGAGGTAATGAGCACTCCAGCACTGAAGGCATTCAAGAGAAGATTGAGATACCATCTCTCATATCTACTTTGATTTATATTCCTGCACTGAGCAGGAGGTTGGTTTCAATGGCCATATTGGCCCCTTCCAACTCAATTATGCAATGATCATGTGAGAGCTGAGGCACCTCCTTACTCCTGTAAAGATAAAAAAAATAGTGACCGGCTCTAGCAGTCGTACATGGGTATTCGTTTCAGAAAATAGTAAGGAACATGTGGCTTTCCATATGTTTTTCCCTATAACTTCCTTCAGTTATTGCCATGTGGCTAGTGTTTAGAGTTGATGGGCCTTGCAGTCTAGCAACCTTTGGAAAGGTCCACATATTCTCCATCCCTGCCTTAGAACATCCTCTGTGGCACTGAAAACAGCTACTCCTACTTGTTGCTTACTTTCTCTTGACCATCTGTACTGCCCTGCTAATGCAAGATTTAAAAAACCCACATGAAATAATAACTTCATGAATAGTAAGGAATGAAATTAGCAGCTGACACTCCAGATTCTAAAATCAAAACTGTTTAAGCTGTGTTGTGAATGTGTATTGCACTCTCCCATTCTATTTAATAGTTTGTTACTTTGTAGTATACTATAGGTATGGTGTTAATGGTTCCTGTCCCTCATCTCTCAACGTTTCTTGTAGGTGCTTGACCGACGTGGATGAATGCGTAGAAAACCCATGTCTGAATGGTGCTGTCTGTGAGAACACCTATGGCGCTTATCACTGTAACTGCAGCCATGGTTTTGGAGGAAAACATTGTGCCGAGGTTCTTAATAAATACATTTCGACTTCTTGGAATATTAGCTTAGCAGAAGTCATTGGCATCATCATCTTTATATTGGGAGTCTCCATACTGGTTGGGATCTTTGTTTTCTCTCGCCAAGTAATCAGGAGGAGGAAGAAGAAAAACCAGCCAGAACCTGAAGACAAACATATGGGAACAACAACGCCCTTCTTGCAAAGACCCTACTTTGATTCAAAACTGAATAAGAATATTTATTCTGACATTCCACCCCAGGTGCCTGTTCGTCCCATCTCATATACTCCGAGCATTCCAAGTGACTCCAGGAACAATCTGGACAGGAATTCCTTTGAGGGTTCCACCATTCCCGAACATCCAGAGTTTAGCACCTTCAATCCAGACTCTGTCCATGGCCATAGGAAAGCTGTGGCTGTCTGCAGTGTAGCCCCTAATCTGCCTCCCCCTCCTCCCTCCAACTCGCCATCTGACAGTGACTCAATACAGAAGCCTAGCTGGGATTTCGATTATGACAGTAAGCTGCCCTTTCTTTCTTTGTGTGTGTGATGAAAATTATTTTGCTGGTAGGATAATTGAGAGTCATGCTTTGAAACAAGTGATGTGGATTCATAGAAGTGCCATTGGTAATTATTTGAAGTGCCAGCCAAACACCAGGTAACAAAATACTTCTTTTATCTGTCATGTTTCTTGACATATTCATCTGGTAGAATAGTTATATATTTGAAAGTGAAATGGGGCCATCCCAAAATAGAATTGGGTTTCTACATACTCAGAAGACTCCTTTGGGTAAGCAGAAGTATGAAAGCTGGTATACACAATACGAAACAAAACGGTAACAAACACATGGCTGGTAAGGACCTGTGAGCTTCTGGGGCTGAGGGCACAGAGATAAAAACATTGTAGAGTCAGTCATCCCCATGTCTGGAAAGGCCACTTAACAGATCCACATGAAATGCCAGAGAGAAGAATGCCTGTAGGTACCTTTTGAAGGTTGGGAACATGATGCTATGCAGTCATGACCGCACTAAAATCCTAGTATTCTCTGCTATCTTCAGTGGGCAGCTCTCACCTCCATGCTGGGATGAAGAAAAAAGATGAAAGAAACTGGGGGGCTTTGGATATGTATCTGTTTAATCTGTGTCTGAGACCTGTTCAGACATCAGAATAATAGGTTATCAGTGGAGAAAAATGACACTGGGCAAATCAAATGAAAAAAAAATATCTCACTCAGGCTCCTTATTGCTTGATAGTGGGTATCCAGCACTGGGGAGAAATATATTGGGAAGAATGTCTGCCCATGAGGTTAAAATGAAAAAGAAACATATTGCAACACTTTAGAAGACCATCGAGCTTTTATCTGGCATAACCTTTTGTGGGTTACAGTCCACTTGAACAGATACATAAAACTGGCACATACTCATGCATGCTTAGCCGGGAGGAGAATGGGGGGAATAAGAAGTGCAAAAAGTCCAGACATTGTTGATAATCATAACTAGCTTCAGTAAGATCAGATACCTCCCTTCTTCTGTGCCATAAATGGAGATTTCAGAGCTGGTAATCATGGACTCAGGTCCAGCCCTTCTAAGGCCATATAGCTCAGCAAGAGTAAAACCTTGGAGAAGTGGGGAGAAAGGCACCCTCTGCCTCTTTTCTGTTGTATTTCCATCCCCACACCAACCTACACACACTCTTAGGGTTGCCTTAATACTACAGGGTGCCTGTTCAAGGTTGACAGGAGCGCTAAAGAAGATTTGCTAGAGGAGCTGAACAGTACTACAACATTTTTTCCAGATTTCATTTTCCTAGCTAACTAGAGGATCAATGTGAAGTTTTGACAAGCCTTCATATTTCTCATTTCATTTTAATGCAGAAACATGTACTCTGATTATCTCCTTCATTTTGCAATTTTCATTCTTTTAGCTAAAGTTGTAGACCTTGATTCCTGTCTATCAAAGAAGCCTCTGGAAGAAAAGGTTTCTCAGCCTTACAGTGCTAGAGAGAGCATGTCTGAAGTCCAGTCCCTTAGCTCATTCCAGTCAGAATCATGTGATGATAATGGTAAGTGGAATGCAACTGGTTGTTGATTGTTCATCTATTTCTTATTCTGTATGAATGTACATGTTGCAGATATTGCAGGCTGCCTCTATAAATCATTTAAACTGGACAACATTAGTGTTTAATTTTTTATGTAAAGTTAATTATATTCAGATGAAATTATCCTTTGTAAAATATTCATGATTGTGTTGAACATTTTAGAAGTTTATAATGTGAGGCTTAAATATGTTTAAAATTGGATTACAGCTTTATTTGTTTCCTCTTTTTTCCCCCCACTGCTGCTGCCTCAGCTCCCATATGGATCAGAGCAGTACTGAGTGAAAGCAGAGTATGAGGGACTTGCTTGTAAGTCTGATTATCTTAGTAACAAAGGAAGTTGTCCAACAGGGCTATGATTGAAACTTTGTTGATAATGTGGCTTATTCTATGATAAGGAGCAAGGGTATGCCAAATCTCTAGGCATGGAAAACATTCCACCTCATAGAATCAGATCCTGTTCTTTAATGACATTTCTATGAAAAAGAGAGAGAGAAACATTATAGAAATTACCCTGCCCCATCAAAAGCACTCCCATGAACTTGCTCTTTGTCATAATTTGGCCTGTATTTACTTAATATTCCACTGAAATTAACTGCAAAACCTATTGGTCACTATTTCATTATAAAGTCTAGAAGAATAATTGGCAGTTTTAAAACACACAATAACTCCTGCTCATTTAAAATGCCCTGCCCAGTGATTTCACTGTATAAAACCTGTTACTTATGTTTACGTAAAACTTCCTTTGATTACTTTACAGAAAAAAGTAAGTTTTGCTGGTCACTAGCACTTTCAGTGAAATTTCTGTGTTTGTTGTGTGTCTGTATGTGTGAGTTGGTGATTTTCACAATGTGGTGAAAGAAACTTTAATAAAAAATGTAAAATAGAAGCTGTATTTTGAAATACCTTTTCTTCTAACTTTGTATCAGCTAGTATCTATTGTTCTGTTCTATGTGGTTGATCACAAGTTGCAAATAAATCAGTATGATATTGTGTGTGGTAAGAAAGGAGTGCAAACAGGAAAAGCCATTATTGAAGATCATAACTGGAAAATAATTGTGTGGCTGTAAGCATGATATTTGACTTGTTCACTGTCTCTGTTAATTGATTAATTAAAACCACAGAAATATAGGAAATAATTTAGTCAATCATTTGAAATCATTCCTCTCATCACAACTTAGCTTTTTTACCCAGATAGCCCTGCTTCTTTCTCTGTGTTGATCAGCCACCCATTTTCATTTTTCCATTTCTTCCAATAACACTTAACTCCTCCTCTCTCTAGGCTCTGTGTGAATTTTTGCTCTACTCTATGTCTTAGACTCTCTTTTCCTCAAGTTTTTGGAATTTTTTTCTCCCAAGCCCCACATTCCAATTTCCACTTCATGTTTGTGCTTACCATTAGACATGGGATATTTTCCCAGATGCCAGACTTTCCCCCTCCCTCAACCAGCAGATCCACTCATCACTTGTCATGCGGCGTTCATGGCCGATGTTCTCATTGCACCAATCACAGAAGCAGTCTGGCCAGTCCTTCCCTATCTCTTCACACAACCACCCTCTCCAGCGAAGAGGTGGGATGATGAGTCTCCCCGTGCAGTTATTGAGCAGTCAGCTGTGCAGGGGAGTGGGGACTTGCCAACCGGGCTACTTCCAGAATTAGTGTCACAAGATCAAAACCAGCCATGTCATGTGTGCCGCACGGCAAGCAGTGAGTTGACTTGTCGGTTTGCGGGGAGAATCTGGTTTTCCCAGCCACCTCTGGTGCTGATATTCATATTTGTACCCAAGGTAAAGGTTAAGGTTCCCCTTGACAATTTTTGTCTAGTCGTGTACAACTCTAGGGGGCGGTGCTCATCCCCGTTTCCAAGCCATAGAGCCAGCGTGTTTTTTCTTTTGTCCGAAGACAATCTTCCATGGTCACATGGCCAGTGCCACTTAGACACAGAACGCTGTTACCTTCCCACCGAGGTGGTCCCTATTTATCTACTCGCATTTGCATGCTTTCGAACCGCTAGGTTGGCGGGAGCTGGGACAAGCGACGGGCGCTCACTCCATCGCGTGGATTCGATCTTACTACTGCTTGGTCTTCTGACCCTGCAGCACAGGCTTCTGCGGTTTAGCCCACAGCGCCACCACGTCCCTCTATTTGTACCCTAGGTATACGAATATAGATACCCCACATCTGCTTACCATCTCTGCTGTATAGCCTACTTCCAGCTTCTGTGCCTTGTGATTCCCTTTCCTCTACAATTTCTGCCTCATCCCATGAAGATAGCCTGTACCCTACATTAGGGGCCAAAAGAAGCACAGAACTGCTGTATATACCAGAGCTTGGGGAAAAAAATGGGGGAGTAGGCAGAAACTGTGATTCCCAGAAGCTTCCAGCTAGCATGGCATGTCCTAGTCTCAGATTCTTGGCTCTCTACCCACCATCCTACACCGGGTGCTTGCTTCCCTCACAACTTGCTGTCTCTCATGTAAGACCACTCAGAACTATTGTAAGCAGTTCCATCTTAGGAGCTCTGCCAACATTCTATTTATTCTTCTTTTCCTTTTTGAAGTTATATTTTATGCAAACATGCCACACAATGGATGCGGGGTAAGGAGTAGTGCTAATAACCAAGGAAGTAATACATAAGAATTTAAAGGTAAAAATCAAGTAGTAATTAGCTACCGGAGTAGGCCCATTGACTCACTGGAATTTATGGAGGAGCTGACTCACCAGTTCTTGACTGATTCTAAGGGCCTACTCTGCTCGCAGTTTAATACTGGATTTCAGCCACTAGAAAATAAAGCTCCAGTAAATAAGAAATTGCCATTAGATTGATGCTACCAGCAGCCCCGATCCTGGAGGTGGCAATCTGGGAGCATTTTTTTACTATTAAAATGTTCCCCACCATTTCAAAGCTCCCAAAGGGGTAAAAGGGAGCCCTGGAATCTAAAAGGAGGAAGATAGGAAGATTTAATTTACTTTTAAGTGCTTCAAGTTCCTGATCTAGGTTATGTGGTAAATAGTTATGTGAGCAAGATTTTGCCTGTTCATTCTTAAAACAGATTCCTTTCATGGAATTGAGATAGGATATATAGTTTCCATGGATTTTGATCTAGCCTCTGCAGTCCTTTAAAAATCAGGTTTTCCTGTCAGTAGACTTAAAGATGATCCATGGAACATGACTGAAGACTAATTCACACTTAAAAAAAAAAAAAACTATGTACAACAGATCAGTTAGTGAATGATCTATGTCCACTTCTGTGTATGTTTCGCCCCCCCCCCAAAGACATCAGCAGAAACCACACAAATAATTGGGCCTGTTTATCTGTGTTTATTGAAAAATGGCCATGCAAATCCATATGCGCCATTCATAATTGACATACTGTTCAAGCACTATGCGCTAAGTCCATTCCCAAGTACAGTACTAAGAGTGAGAGTGAGCCCTATTGTTTCTTAATGTGCATGTAAGTTCATCTTTACAATTGATTTCAAATTCTCACTGCCATTATAAACTAGTCCAACCTGCCTGTTTATATTTGTGGGGGCCAGAGTGTGTTCAGATCAAAGAGGCAAAGGCTTTGGATATTTCTGTCTTGTCAAAACAGTGTTAATAGTGCCAAGATCTAGTTGCCAGTGTAACCCAGTGTAAACAACACATGCCTACTACCAGTAGAAATGTTTCATTAGTTAGATTATATGCCACTGTACAAGGATGTGTTAGCATGAAGTTTGTTTTTCTTGACATGTTTTTTAATATGCCATGTGAAACTGTTGCTAATCATAGGTTGTTGTTTTCTCTTTGTTTTAATTTGCTCCTCCCATACTTTTTACAAGCTTCCCTAGTGACTGTAATACACCTTGTCAATGCTGTTGTTGACTCGGTGGGAAAAGAAGGTATATAGTTTTCACTTTTATTTACTGCCTGGGCAGAACATTGCATGTTTTTGTCTTCTTGTAACGTATTAATAAATAGATGATTATAAGACAGTATAATGCAAGTGTGCTCATAATCACGGTCATACACACACACCTATTACCATTTGCCTTTTTATTAGCAGGGTGCCAGGTGTGTCTCTGTGTGCTGTATGTGCTCCATATAATCACAAATGGAAATCATATTTAGACATTAGTAAAGAGTATACACTCAAGTAATTGTCTGAAAAAGAAATCTTGTTGTAACTGGAGGTTCCATGTGTGAGGCAAACTTCCAATTGTTCTGTATTCTGGCTTCTTAGTAGAGCCTCCACAATTACAGCAGAAGGTTCCTAGATAGTCACTTTACTATGAGGAAACTAACCACAGAGGCAGTTAAAACTAGTGTAGCCTTATTTGTTCAGGTCTCATGAATGAGAGTTGATGCTGTTGTGAAACTTGCATCAGCAGGGCTCAGGCAATGCAAAACTGTAAAGGATTTTGTTGGTGGCTCTTTGACAGCAGATGGGCATCCAGCAATCTTAAGAAGTATAACAGTATATTATAAGGGAATACAATTTACACCCTTACTGATGTTCCATAATATATGGGAACTACCATCTAGATCCCAAAGCATCAATTTGATCTTGACTTAAAGTAAAAATTAAAAGCACTCCAAACTAGATGGGAAGAAAATAATTCTGTTAATACTGACCAGAATCCAATTTATAAAGGTTTTCTGTAACTTACTGTGGCTAATTGCAGCTAATTGACAAGGTACCGGGGTATGTCTTGAGTGCATACTTAGACACTTGATCAGGCATATCACTCAGATGAGTCCCTCATCTATTAGCTACAGCTATGCAAGTCTGATGTGAACACCTATAGGATTCTAGCTGTTGTTGCATATTTCCTTCTAGTAAAGTAGGGAAAGGGGACAATTGGCAGGATCAGCGCTACATGAAGTCAGTACAGCTGTTGAAAGTTTTCTAGGATATCAGGGAGAGCTGGAGATCTATAAGAATTATGAAAACAAAGTGTTTTCTAGACAGTTTCTAACTTAAATTTTTGTTCTCCCATTAATTTAATGGATGGCCCCTAGCATCCAGGACATGTTCTTATTTCTTCTAATAATTTTGATGATAATATGCATAATTTACAGGATTTTTAGCAATTTTTGAATGATGTGCGGAACGTGAAACATCCAGGAAAAGCTACATAATAGCAATAAAATAGGTGGAGAAAACTGTCTGATCCTTGCACTAATTCTAAAAAACAAGGGTGGGCAATACCTTTATTGGGCTACTAACCTATTAAACACAAGCAACCATTTGAGAGAGTGGTAGGAGAAGCAGAATAGTTTTGAAATTCCTGACCAGATGTGCAGTGTCTGGGTCTGAGTTAGACTAATGCCTCAGAATGGAAACTGCAAGCTTATTGTATCAGCATAAGGCCTCAGGTCCCCCCTCAGGCAATCCTAAGATGAATTGACTTTCCATGTCTCTGTAGACAAAGGGTTTGCTACTCACCTAGAACATTCTCCATTTGCCTTGTGTTGAAGCATACAGCTCCCATTTGGCTAGGAACAGAGGCACACAGAGATGTGGCAACTCACATACAGTATATTAAATTTATTTGACACACTAGGCAGTAAGAACAATTGTCAGGAGGAGGAATAATGTGATACTGTAACATTTTGCTAGCTCAGAATTCTTGTTTCTCTTTTCAATGATAACAAGAGTACTACAATCTAAAATTGAAAGGGGGGAAGTATTCATGTATTTCTGTCATGTATGTGCACCAAAAATGTTTTTAGTTCTACTATACTGGCATACCTCGGTTTACGCATTTAATGCATTCTCTGGGATGTTTCATAATGGAAAAAAATTGCAAACTGAAACACTGTTTCCCGTAAGAATGCATGCACTGGAGTGGCATTATAAACCTCCCAGGCGCAATGCAAACTTGCTTTGTATTGTGGAAAAAAATTGTAAACAGAGGCATTATTTTCAATGAATTTTTGTTCGTAAACCAAAAATTACGTTAACCGAGGCGTTTGTAAACCGAGGTAGTATTATTATATATACAAGTTCATCTCTTTGTATTAGTGCGTTGGTTGAGACAACCACTTACAGCATACCAGCGCCTTAAAGTTAACTGTGTGGAGATATCAAACAATATCTCCCCATTTTCCTGAAATGTCAGGTAGTGGCAAGTGGGTGGCCGTTCCTTAATTGGCCATGAGACCAGACTCTAAAAATAAGCCCTGGCTAGCTGATTAGGGCAGGGTGTGGGCAATTGGGGCCATCCTGGCGTTGTTGGATTACAACTCAGTACTTCTCCATAGATGCTGTGCTGACCAAAGTTGTTACAGCTCAGCAACATCTGGAGGGACCCAGTCGTCCACCTGAGGATTGCAATGGCCATATGGACTATGAGGGCACCTTGTATAGTTATCTACCAAAAAAGGTGTATTGGATATTCATAGTTCCTTCAGGGGTGGTCTGGACAAACCAAAGAAATGGAACATTCTGTGTGCATGGTGTCTTTATGGTTAACTCTACATTGAATAATTGCCAAAAGATACAGTTGTGACTCCTACTGTTAAATTTTGTTCTGGAGTTCATGCCATTCATATAGAATAAAAACAGGAGATGATGAGCCCTAGGTATTTTTAGGATAATATTTTATGCCAGAGCAACCCAACAGAAAAAGAAGAGAGAAATGGAAATGTGGGTAAACAAAGAATAGGCAGTAGTTTCAGGTAATGGATTTAGGCTTGACTACTGGCTTCATTGCAGCAGGCAATCTGAACTGAAGTCAGGACCATACATAATAAAGGGACGCAGAGATATTTCCCATATGCTAACAGTCTCCTTCTCTTGAGTGTGGATCCTTGCATAGCCAAAATGTGCGGATGTCTGTGCACAAGCATGTCCATGCATGTATACATACACAAAGAAAGAGGAAATCTCAGTAGACTGGGCAGGTGGGGAGGGATCCTAGGTTTTTCACAATTGCAGCAAGGGGAGAAAAAGAGGTTAGAAACTTTTTTTAAAAATCCTTCTAAGTGTAGGATTGGCTGATGAGGGCTCAGCATGCTCAGTGCCATAGTGGGTTGGCCTGCTGCGAAGAACGTGCAGGGCCAAATGCGGAAAGGAGAAAGACACATCAAGTTGCTGTTTTCCTTCGACACAACAAATGCATTCACTCAGTCTGCTACACACCTTCTCAAGACAAAATACATAGACCAGTCTCCCACGCATAATGATTATTCACGTGTGACTTACAATGCAAGGCTTTTGTCAAAGAAGCATTTGCCAAGTCTTAATTGTCATGCCTGGAATGGCCACAGTATAATGGTTTGTAATTTTCTCACTACCCAGATGCCTCTCTCACACACACGCTCATTGCAAGTCAAAGGTAGGAAAAATCACCTTGAGGACTACAACCCCAAAGTTCCTTTAGCCAGTTACTTTTCTAAACTGTACCTCACAGAACCCATCAGCAAACATGACTTGGAGCTTTCTGAGGGACTCTGCATATTACAGGCCAAGAAGAGTAACTGTTTCCATTACTTGCAGCCATTGGCTTGGAATCAGATTGAAGAAGAACCTTCTGTTGTCAAAAACGTGTGTCTGTTTTTCCCCCATATCTAAATTGCTTTGTGGGGTGAGGAGAGGAGGCTGCAGATCTGTTAGCAAGGGCTTTTAAATCTATATCCCTGGTTTCCCATCCTTGATCTAAACTATGCTTTTTTATATATAATCCATTGAGTTGTAAACTGTGTTTAAACTTTTAAAAAAAATCAGAAAATGCTAGAATTTAGCCACAAGGATTCAAAACAAATACATGTGTTAAAAGATACCAGGTAATCCATACCCAATCAAGGATGTGTGCAGCTCTGCTGTTTGCTCAGAAGTTACCTTAAGGCACCTCCATCCTCATATCCAGGCACTGCTCTTGCTCAAGATCCCAAGTCATTCAGCTAACGTGTGCAGTCAGCACTTTATATTGATTAAACCTCTTTTGAAACTGAGGAGAACTTGTGTAATTCATATGTGATTTGGCACTTGGTTACAGTCCTGGGCAACGCCTAAGTACCTCAGCTTTAAACTATTGTTACCTTCTCTTAACTATAATAGATAAAATAGAGCAGCATAGCTCTGTGTCATTACCATAACCATCATGTAAGTTTTTGCTCTTTTAGGGCATGACAAGTATTTGAAATGTTTGGTTCCTAACTGCCCATATTTTCTTCCTTCTTCTTTTTTTTTTTCATTTTGCCATCCTAAGAGTCTTTTGCTGTTCCTGACCTGAGCAATTCAAGAGGTGACGTCTGCATGTAGTTGTGCATTGGTATTCACTGAGATGTTCCTGTTAATATTTGCCCCCAGCACTAACTTCCCCTTGGTTGTTTGCTCCGTGTGTTTGTACATTGATTTCTGCAGTTTACTACACTTGAAAAGGTTTTGCAGTTCTGCCCCCTTTTTAGACAACAGCAAGAAACTTAGTGTAATGCATTAGAGTTTGGGCCAGTCGGTTTCCAACAAAATATATTTTCGATTTACAACGCAAAAACAATTTTGCATGGTTGGCTTAACATTTTTTGACATTATGTTTTCACATTTGAATGCTTGAATGTCTTTACTAATAGCATTTTTGTTTTTTTCAAATCAATATTCAGTTGTACTTCCAGTTCTAATACTTACTATAAAGCTGATGGGCAGTAATTAATCTCGTTACTACCAAGCATTAAACATGCTGCGTGAGCTACAAACCCTCAGTTTATTGGCCTCAATTTCCATGAAGTTGAGTGTGCTTTCAGACTACTGATGGGCAGATTGGTGTATCAGTTTTGCGTGTCTGCTGTTCAGGCTTAACTCTATTACATTTCTGTACCATTCCCTGCACTTTTAAAACAGCCCAAATGAATTTTCCCTGAAATACCCATTTTAGAACCAGTTTTCCCTATTATACTTTCTTTAACCCCATCAAGGAATTCAGAAAACTGCATAATGCAGAGGATAACTATTCCAGTTCAGTTATTAGAAAAGTGACAATTTGGTTGGCTTGCCTGAAAATGCAGACCAAAGAAAAGTCTCCCTTCTCTTTCTATTGAGTGGATGGAACGGGTTTAGCGCAGCTATTTTCGTTCCATTGAGTTAAGTGAGCTAATTCTGTGGTTCTTAGTTGAGAGTAAGTACCATTGACCTCATTGGGATTTTGTTCTGAGTAGATACAGGTTAAATCAAGTTTTTGCCTTTCTTCCAATTGGGACTGTGGGAGACTAAAATGTTTACAGATTGTACATTCATTTAAAAAGAAGTGATCTGAGTTATCGGTTGCCGTCCTTCAGCTACTTTAGTGGAACCAGATAAGCTACTGGACACCTTGAGTCAAATAAAGAACCATTTTCTGCCTTTGTGTATCAGCTTCTTTGTTAGGGTGAATTATGTTGACGTTACAGCTAATTCCGACTTCGGTAATATAATAAGCTATCTACTGCATGACACACTGTGAACCTGTGGTTGTAACACTGAATGCCTTCCTTAACCTTGGGGGCAGATTGCTTCAGTTGTGCTTGTGCCCTTAATCATTGGTGGTTGTCTTGTCTTCGTGATGTGTATCCACACCACTTCCCATTGCAGGGAAGATACTGAAACCCATTTTTGTTTTTGTGGTGCAGGCTATCACTGGGATACCTCTGACTGGATGCCCAATGTCCAACTGCCTGGCATACAGGAATATCCAACCTATGAGGTGGTTGAGGAGCCGGCACCCTTGTACACGGATCCAAATTCTATCGATGCAGACTACTACCCAGGAGGTTATGACATCGAGAGTGACTTCCCACCTCCCCCGGATGACTTCCCAGTGCCTGATGATCTGCCACCATTGCCACCAGAGTACAGTGATCAGTTTGACTCAGTACAGCCATCCAGGAACATGTCTGGTGTTGGTAGTTTGGAGTCTTCAGCGAGGAGCAGGCAAAGATTCAACCTCAACCAGTACCTTCCCCATCACTATCCTTCAGACATGTCTGAACCTCAAAACACAACCAATGGAGTCTCCAGTAATTACCGAGAACCTTGTGCTCCCTACACTGTAGGGTACGCTACTCGAGACTTTGAAGCACCCCCCGTAGACAACATGTCCATGTCTGTGTACGCTTCCACGGCTTCATGCTCCGATGTGTCAGCATGCTGCGAAATGGAGTCTGAAGTCATGATGAGTGACTATGAGAGTGGAGACGACGGACATTTTGAAGAGGTGGTCATTCCTCCACTTGATCCTCAGCAGCACACAGAAGTCTGACACTCTTCCTCAATAAAAGTGCCTGGATGTTAATGTACTTTAAAAAAAAAAAAAAGATTCTAGCGAAATCTTGGAGAGCCCCTCCTCCTCCCTTAGCAGTGCTTGAGTGCTTTTGTTTCAGTGAGCTAAAACTGGCATGGCTGCACTGGACCACATAGCTCATCTCAACATATTAACTGATTTTTCCATTGCCTGACCCTCCTACAGATGGACTGATCACAGGTCCCCCATTGGCTGTGCCATTCCCCTCACCCAGTGTTTTTTGTATCTTCATTGTCTATGTTAAAGAAATAAAGCAAAAACACGTACCATTTCCTCATTTTAGCATGATATATGTATTTATATCTTTCAAGAACAAATCATTTTTATCATATCTCTTTTTTTGTAAATTTTTATGTACAGTTTTAATTTCAATAATTTTAACTAGATTTTTGTAGATAATTTCCAAATTTGAGTTCCACTGATTTAGTGGTGTTTAATGTGCCGTCTAAACAACTCCCTGCATCTACTAGGTTTTATGACCTTCAGGAATGAAGTAAAATTTCACTATTTTTGTTTATCATCACGGGTGTTTGACATTTCATTTATACATTTCAGTGTATTCAGGCATTTCCAAGTGTACATAATTTCCAGCTGTAAAAGATGACTGATATTTTCCCAGCAGAAAATGTGGAAATGGCCTTCATGGGTTTCTGTACTCTAGAGCAGTAAACATTTTTTCGTTTCTTGAAAAGTGTTTTGGGGCCCACCACATACCTGTTTAGAACCAAAACCACACCTTGGCACAGTTTTTATAGTGTCTGTATATTTGTGATGCAATGGTCTTGTAAAGGTTTTTACTGAAATCTACCATTAGCCAGTCTTTCTTACTGACAATAAATTATTAATAAAATAATTCAGCTTTGTCTTCTATATCTCATCTCTAATATACAGGTTTAATATTGCAGATTCCATTGCTTTAATGGGTGGCACGGGTAAAACAAGTAATCCTTAAAACTATGCAGCACATGTCCACCAGGTGGCACTGTGAGCCTGCTTAATGGTTGGGATGACTCGGGGAGCTTGGATAGAATGAATGGAGCTCCTGTTTAAAGATGAACATAACATTTTACTCCTCTGGTTCCTGTTTAAATGCACTGAATTTAGTACTGTAGCAAAATTACTTTTTTTTTCCTCCTGGAACATAATTGTTTCCAGCATTTACTTGAAAGGTCACTAATGTGTTAGCAACTTATAATGATTCCAAGAAATTCTATTTCTTTCAACGGCTGCCTCAATCCTCAGGTTTTAGTTTATTCAATGCTTGTCGTGTAGTTCTTTCCCAGTGGTTCACAAACTTAGGGCTCCAGTTGTTCTTAGATCATAACTCCCTCAAGCCTTAGTACGGCCAATGATCGCGACTTCTGGGATTTACAGCCTGAGAATGTCTGGGACCTCATATTTAAGAACCAATGAGTTTTTGAAAAAGAACCTCAGTGTTGTTTGATTCCCAGTGAAAACATGATCATACTTACGATGTGCATAGAGCTTCAGGAATCTAATGGGCCAATCGCAAGACTTTCTGCCTCTGGACAGAACATGTGAAGCATTTGCCCAGGGTTGTTATTCTTGCACCAAACAATCATAATGCTAGTCCTCTGGAAGAATTAAGCACGTCACAAGCATCATAAGGAACTTCATTTTCCAAGTTAATTAAAAAATGTACATACTGTAGTAGGTTGTCTGCCCTTTCCATTTTAAAAACACAGTAAATGAAGCCTAGCTGGCTGGGTAGCTCAGTGAGTTACGTTATCTCACATCAGAGACAGAGGCTAGGAGTTCCACTCCCCACTGTGCTTTCTGGAAGAAGAGCCAGCCTGTGTAGCCTTGGACAAGCTGTACTGTTCCAGAGCACCTTTCAGAAGAAGGGAATAGTAAACCAGTTCTAAGTATTTTAGAAATCCCTGGAAAGGTTTGCCATAACCCAGAACTGACTTGATGGCACAATCAATTAGCTATCTCATACTTAAATAATACTTGTCATGCCCTTCTAATGCTTCAAAAACACTATCAAAGTAATTTGTTGTTATTCTATACAGCAGTGGTCCCCAACCTTGGGCCTCCAGATGTTCTTGGACTACAACTCCCAAAAGCTTTCTCCACCACCTCTGCTGGCCAGGATATCTGGGAGCTGAAGTCCAAGAACATCTGGAGCCCCAAGGTTGGGGACCACTGCTATACAGTACAAGGCAAGGCAAGGCTGTTTGTGAAAAAATGAGAACAGCTATAAAGCTCACAGTCATATTTTAGGGTAAACTTACTACCAGTTGTATATGTTTCAACCCTTTAGACTGGAGGGTGGGGGAACATACTGGAATTGGGGAAGTCCTGGGTGGTGTCATGGGGAGAGAAGCGTGGTCTCTAGGGAAGCCCACAGGACCAGATTGGGTTTCCCTCCTTGCCCTACAATTCACAGGAATAACTTGACAACTGTGACTTAGGTTTTAGCTGGTATTGGAAGAAGCCCATTATTAAAAGGAAGCATTCCAAGAGCAGTTTGGGATCTACAGAGGCAGTCAGTTACATGGCTAACACAGCTGAGTGTAGTGAAGGCTGTTCAAATGAGTGGGTTCATGTATGCTTTTTTACCCTGTGTTGGGCTGGCTGAATTTTGCATTAAATATCCTTTCCAAACTATTGTGGTTTGCCATTTCTTTCCAATACATGATTTGCATCAGGTTTGTTTTCACTTTGAACTTTCAGGGCACAAAGTTTTGCTAAGCAAGCCCATTTGAACTAAAGTCACAATTTCCAACGGTATTGAATTTCCCTGTGCATTTTGCATTTCCATTAAAGAAATTTTTAAGAACAGTTATGAAAGTTTTGTTTTGTTCGCTGTGCTTAAATTTTGATTTGGTCATGGGTGTAAGTAATAGATTTTTCTAAACACAATGTGCTAACAGTATTTGGAAAAATCTCATGTGTCAGTATGTTTGATTAATCATTTTGTTGAAGTTTGCAGTCATGCATAAATATGAAGACAGAAACACCCATAGTGCTCATAGTTACCTAACATTTGCTTTAACTTTTGCTCCAACCTCTCTCTTGACTCTAAGCTAATTCCTTTACAGTAAACTGGATTCATTCTGATACTAATCCGCTTTCAGTCTTACCATACATGGGTTTTGTGAATTACATTTGCATGGGGAAAATGCTGATGTTGCACTACAAAATTACAATGTAACACATTACACAAATGTTACATGTTTTCTAATATGAGTTATTGATACATCACACCTGAAAGCATGTTTCCTCAAAGCAAGCTCTTGTACTAGGCAACACACCAGAGCAGCTCATAGGTAGCACTCACTTTGGAGTTTGGACATAAGCATTGGGGTGATCCAGAGAATATTTGGGGAGTACATTGCACGTTATATTGTAGTTTATTATTCAGTGTGATGTCTTCCAAATGACTGAATTCACATTAATTCATTCCTGATAAGCTTGAATGTATATGCTTTGCTTGTACAGTGATTAGCATTTATTAGGATCTGTGTTAATCTCCAGAATGAATTAGAAATCATGAGCTAGAAATGCAGTTCCATTCTTATTTTTGTTCTGCAGATTTTTTTTTCATGTGTTCCTAAGACAGTTCATAATTCTGCCAAAACCCATTACAACGGTTGGTGTTAGAGCAGAGTACAATTCTGAACAAGTGCTCGGACCCAGTTTGAATGTTCCATGGATGGAAGGGTGTGTGTTTTTTTTTCACAGAAGAACCAGGGAAGGATCCAGCAGAAATTGGCAGCTGGAGGAAAGGGATGGAGAGGTTATCTTTGCTGAGACCACTTGAAACTCCCTGAACTGCCATTTCTGCAGCTTCAGAGGGTTCCCTTATTCTCTTTTAAAAAATATTTTATTGTATTTTTTCTACTTTTTGATCTGTTGCAACCAGAGTGATTTATTACAATATATTCCATTCATTTAATTTAATACTCTCTAACATAGTATTGATCTAATCTATTCTATTTAAATTGATGTAGATTTCATCCACGTATAAAGAGGCTCCCATTTATTATTATTATCCAGTCTGTCATTTAATGTATCTGTCAAAATATCCATTTCTCCTAGTTCCAAAATCCTCTCAATAAATTCCTTCTTTGTTGGGATCTCTGTCATCTTCCACTTACTGGCATATACAATTCCAGCTGCCGTTATCAGGTGTAAGGTCAAGTAGGTCTTGTTTTTTTCGAGTATAGGTGGAAATATATTCAGTAAGGAGCTTTCTGGTGTCAAAGCAATTTTAACCCCTAAAATTTTCTCTATCATTTCATGAATCATTTTCTAAAATTCCTTGGCCTTATTGCACGTCCACCACATGTGTTAGAAGCTCCGAAAGGCTCATATACAATATGCAGCTAACCAAGGGGGAAAAACAGCAAATGCCATCTACTACTCCAAAGGGGGTTGATATATTCCAGCAGCCCAAAAACTCTTTCAGGCAAAGGTGGTCAGCCAGATGTTCTATGGCTGTGGTCCCCAACCTTGGGCCTCCAGATGTTATGGACTGCAACTCCCAGAAGCCTTCACCACCACCTCTGTTGGCCAGGATTTCTGGGAGTTGAAGTTCAAGAACATCTGGGGGCCCAAGGTTGGGGACCACTGGTCTAAGGGATACCTCTTTGCTTAATGTTGCTGCTCTGAATCAGGTCTTGGGGAAGTTACTTTTTTAAGACTAGAACTCCCAAAGCCATTAGTCATCCTGCTAACTGGCCATAGTGGCCAGAATGTGGGGGACTTCTACAGGTTGTAGCAAAAAACTGAATGTCTTTGGGTTCTGGCAGGATTTGATGATGATGATGATGATGATGATGATGATGATGATGATGATGATGATGATGATGATGATGATGATGATGATGATGATGATGATGATAACTTGAGGCCTAGGAAGTGGAGTCAGATGCAGAAGAGCAGCTCAAATAGGCAAACACAGAAGGTGCCTCTGAACTCACATGAAGCCCAAGAATTTGGCTTCAGTAGGAAAAGGGGAGTCCAGAGGCAAGTCTTTTCACTGACAGATTTATTCCTCTTTTCCCCCTCGTAGGCTTTCTTGATTCAAAAAGCCTAATTTAGGAAGCTCCCCCTCCCCAACAGCAGTGCCTGAGTGTTTCGTTCTTATGCCAAGGAATCTTTTCAGTTCTTTGGAGACCCTGTGCTCTCTCTCACTCTTTAGTGACAACCTACAGTTCATTGCCTTGAGAATTTTATATTTGTTTTGGTGGAATGAAAGGGTATAAATATGAACTTTAATTTTCAGAAAAGTGAAGTGCACAGCCTCTTTTTTTTAAAAAAAAGGAATAGTGAACAGCATCTTCTCCCACCCCTAGAAAAAACTTTGCCATTAATCTTGGTGTAAGATACTGTGCCACTCATTCTACATAGTGCTGTTTTAATACTACAGAATTATAAGTCCAATAAATAAATAAATAATAAATAAATTTATTGTGTTTTGCTTATTTGACTTGGCTTTTTGTAGTATATGTCAGTACTTGAAGCTCTGCATTTAATTTTGTTTTATTTATATGGCTCGATGCTGTAACAATAAAAGTGTGTGATAGAAGCTCCCTACATTCTTTTCACATTTCCAGCACTTGTTAGAAACATTTTATACATTTTTGATAATTTTTCTGGTGTTACATACCACCTATAAAACATTTTGTATATATTAATATTTCGTTCCAAATTTATGACCAGGCACTTAATTCTATATTATGTCCTATATTTTGAGTCCACTTTACCATGCAATCCTTCACAATTTCATCTTCCATTTTTTGCTCCATTATATAAACCTTTAATCAATTTTTCCTCTGAATCCAGCAACCCCTTATCCAAAGGTATTTTGTCTTTCTGGAA